TGAGATTTCTGTCTGTGTGCTGTGGCCCCTGCAAAATAAACATGTACTTTCTCAGACAAAGCAAGGACCCACATCGTTGGCATATAATTTAGCATCACATCCTAAAATCATTTTAGTCTTCCTGAAACTATATATTAACAAACGTCACGATAATAAACCCAAAGGGGACGTGGAGGGGCAAGCATTGTAGGGCCTGTTTATAAAACACAGTTGCAACGTCTTGATGCAAGCCCAGGCCAATTGTGCAAGTAGTCCTTGACTTACAGTCACAATTGGGAACAGGATTTCTGTTGCTAAACATGTCAATTGTTACGTCGGTTGCGTCTGATTTTATGACCTTTTTTTGGCCATGGTTGTTAAGCGAATCCTGCAATTGTTAAGCAAATCCGGCTTGTTCCATTGACTTTGTTTGTTGGAAGCCAGCTGGCAAGCTCACAAATAGTGATCACATGATGCTGCAACAGTTGTAAGTACACATTGGTTGCCAACCACCCAAATTTTGATCACAGGCCTGTGGGGATACTGCAACAATCCCGCTGCAAGGACCAGTTGCAAGTCATTTTTTTCCATGCTGTTATAACTTCCAAGGATGGTTGTAAGTCAAAGATCACCTGTAGGAAGAAGGACCAGACCCATCGGTGCCTATGCTGTCCCTCAGTGGAATTCTGGGAGTTGAAGTCCACAAGTCATAAAAGGGCCAAGTTTGAAGACCCCTGGTAATAGGGTTTCCTGCTTGAGCAGGGGGGTGGACTAGAAGACCTCCAAGGTCCCTTCCAATTCTGTTATTCTGTTCGTCCAGTGACAGGGAGGTGGCCCAAAATGGCATAACAGCTCTGCATTTTCACCTGTGATCTTGCAGCACTTTGCAAAATCAAGGTAAATTAGCCTCTGCTTTGGGGATACCTGCAAAACCAGGAGACAGGACCCCTGCCCAAACAGGTTGCTGGGCCTTTCATTAAGCCAGGGAAATTCCTGAGCGGCAAGGGAAGAGGCTCCCAAGAGAGTTGAGGGGAAGAGTGGAGCCATCCAGGGCTGCTTACCTAAGGCAAAATTTCTTTTGGGTCCTCCCAGCTCACTCTTTATTCACCCAGGTAGGCAATATCCAAGCTGTGAAGGCTCTTTCCCAGACTCTGTTTGCTGAACCAGCGCTCTCCAAAAGCTGAAACCAGCCCCGTGGCTAGCTCCTAACGAGAGGGAAGGAAACCTCCTCCGTGGGGACGGACCATGTTGCTGCTGGATCCCACGGGAAGCATCTTCTGGGAAGCTCCTACTGGGAGCTGGGCAGGTGGCATCTGGCCTGGCCTTTGAAGTCCCCGATTGAGGCTTGGCTGGCAGACGGTTAGCTGAAAGGTGTTTCCTTTTAAGAAGGGGTCTTTTCAAAGGACCGAGCTGGCTGGGCTGGGGGAGTGTGCTTGCCGGAAACACTGCTGCACGCAAGCAGACATTGCCCTCCCCAGGGACTGGGTTAATCTCTGGCAGAGCTTTGGAGAAGGAACAGCTTCCTATTCAATCAGGAGACTCTATATCAGGGGTAGTCAACCTTGGCTCTTTTGTGACTCGTGGACTTCAATTCCCAGAATTGAATATGCTGGCTCAGGAATTCTGGGAGTTGAAGTCCACGAGTCACAAAAGAGCCAAGGTTGACTACCCCTGCTCTATATCATTTCAGATAGGTGGTTGTCCAGTCTTTTCTTAAAAGCCTCCAGTGATGAAGCACCTACAACTTTTGAAGGCAAAGTCAGATAATTGATGATTTTTCCTTCAGCACCATATCAGATCTATCAAGCTGGCTTTTCCCCCGCAAATAATTTGTCGTCTGGCTATGAAGGGGAATATCTGTTCCAGTCTAAGCTTTAATTGGCTTCAGTTATTATATAGAGCAGCATTTCTCAAGCTTGGCAAGTTTCAGATGGGTTTTAGTTCAACTCCCAAAATGCATTTGGGGACACCAGGATGGAGACGTCCAATGTAAGCCTAGTGATTCCATGGTGCTGCCTTCTGACTACAGGTAGTCCTTGACTTATGACCACAACTGAGTGCAAAAATTCTGTTGTTAAGTGAGACATTGGTTCAGTGAGCTTTGCCCCATTTTACGACCTTTAACCTTCCGTAAGTACGAAAAATGGTCATAAGTCATTTTTTTCAGTGCCGTTGTAACTTTGAACGGTCACTAAATGAACTGGTGTAAGCCGGGGACTACCTGAAGTGTGGTGATCAGATGGCTTTCTCACCTAGCCTGGATTTGCCCTTCCTCCAGCAATTTTGACCTTCCTTCTGGAGATCCCAAGAAGGCGAAAACTTCAAAGCTGGAGGTCACGTGCCCTGAGCTTGGCAAGCTTCTGCAGTACACTAATTGCTTTCTTTCTTTAATGGACTGAGCATCCTATGAATAAAACAGACTCAAGGAGCTCTGCAAATGGAAAGCGTCAGCACGTCCAGGCAGCCAAAGTTGGTCTAGGAAAGAGAAGTCAACGAGTGGAGGCTGGGAGCAGGTGTCTGGCAGGCTAAAAGCCCCACGCTGTGTCTCACTCATTTTGGCCATGTCAGGTGGGGGGAATTCACTGGACAAAGCAATTATGCACTGGAATTCCTTGTGTGTGCAACCACACTTGGCCAATAAAGACTAAAGAAAGAATTATGCTTGGAAGAATTATTGGTAAAAGAAAGCCAGGCCACCAAAGAACACAATGGCTGGACACTATCAAAACAGGCACCAGCTGGAGCACAGAACAACTCAAAGAAGTAGCGTAAGATCAGAAGATGTGGAGGGACCTGGCTCAGAGAATTGCCAAGAGTTGGACCCGACTGAAGGAATAACTCCATTCTGGTTGATGGTTGGCCAAAGCTTGGGTTGATGGTTGAGCCCACCCAGGAAAAATTTGCCTTCCTCTGCCAAGGGCCTACCACCAGCTGAGGAAACGGTTGGCTTTGGAAGTAGAAAACAAAGGCCCAATCCTGATTAATCTGTAGCCTGCTGGTGCAGCCTCTCGGTTTTGTTTCATGCCCTTTGGGGGTCTCTCCAAATCCTGCTTATGGTCCCAGGGTGCTGTCAGTCAGGCGATTCCTTCTGCTTGCACTGCAAGGAAAATGCCACGATTTGCTTCTGTGATGGATCAATTCTCTACAAATGCAGGAAAACAAAGGCTGGCTACACATTTGAGAAGCAGCGTTTGTGCTGGGGATGAGGTTGGAGATGGGCCACAGGGTCTCCTCTCAAATCCCCCTTCAAGCACAAAGGGTGCTGCGGGAATTGGGGGACAGCCGTGCTTTCTCACCAAGTTGCTGCTGGGGAGAATAAAATTAGGAGACACCCTTCCCATAAAGGTGTCCTTTGGCTTCAAGAGAATAACAAGGATATAAATGCGACATCCTTGAAAGCAAATGAAAAATCCACAAAATGTGATTTTAGGACAACCACAAGGAGAAATTGTAACTATGGAGCGAAGATTAGTCTGGCGCCATTTCCCAGCATTTTGAGGTTCGCATCCTATACTGTTTACCAAATGGTAAAGTTAAAATGGATCTTAAGGCTTCGTCCTAATTGATCTGGTGACTTAATGGATGCATCCTAATAGTTTTCTTGGGAGGGATGGAGTTGTGGCTTGCCATAATCTTCGTCTGGTGGAGGCTAAACCCTGGGATTTCGTGGGAAGCTCCCTTTCAAATACCAGCTGGGTCCACCTCTTCCGAGACCAACCAAGGTTGGAGAGATACTGCCATCTACTGAAGCCAAACAGACCTATCTGGGGTTTTTTTGTGTTGTTGTTTTTGAGTCACGCCACCCTTCCACGTGTGTGATATGCTCGTGTGTGGTGTGCTTGTCCCCCTAAGGTGGCTCTTCACCACCATTCCTGCTATGAAGCTTGATGTCCTCCACCCACATTCTGGGCTACAGGCAATCCTAGATTTACAAAACTTTGTTTAATGATTGTTCAAACGGCACTGAAAAAATTGACTCCTGACAGTTTCTCACACTTATGAATGTTGCAGCCTCCCCAGGGTCATGTGATCAAAATTCAGAGGCTTGGCAGCTGCTTCCTATCGATGATGGTTGCAGCGTCCCGGGGTCACGTGATCCCTCTTGGTAACCTTCCGACAAGCAAAGTCAATGTGGAAGCCAGGTTCGCTTAACAAACGTGTTACTAACTGAGCAACTTCAGTGCCATCACATCGTCATGAGCTTATTGCAATGGACAGTTTGCATCGGTTGGATAATGACATTTGATGCAAGTACGGATGTCCCTTCGGTTGGCTGTTGATGTCATGAGGTGCCTGCCTGGCCTTGTCTAGGCCATCCTTTAGGCTCCTTTGGGCTTTTGGAGACTTGGCCCTGACTTAGGGATCTCAGTGCTATTTAATCTGATATAGTATAAAATTAGATATTAAACTAGAGGGCAAGAGACTGGCTATCCATGGTGGTCAAGGGCAGTTCAGTGAATGGTTAACATTTAGAAATGCCTTCCTCTGAGCTATCAGATGATGGGCATCGTAATGCAATATTCCTGGAATGACTAGATTGCTAGAAAGTCTTTCTCAGCTTCGGCAACTTGTGGGCTTCACCTCCCAGAACTCAGCAGCCAGCCATGCTGGCTGGGGAATTCTGGGAAGAGAAGTCCACGCATCTTAAAGTTACCAAGGTTGAGAAACACTGGTGTAACAGCCTCCCCAGATTCTGGGAAGGTGAATTGGGAAATGAAACTAGTGCAAAAAAGATTCTGTGAAATTAATGACTTTGGATTCCCAACGCTTGCCAATCCTATGAATGATTCATAGTCATATGCATAAAAGCACACTTAATATTTAGGGCACTTGAAGATGTTGGAACACCCAACATATGGCCACGTCAGGATTTCTGTGTAGGTGCACAATGCAAATATATTCCTGATGTATGTCCAACTCTGCAAGACGGCTGGTGGGACATTGCTTTCTTGAGTTGTACCTTGCTTATATAAACACACCTTCTTTCCTCCTTCTCCCTCCCCTTTCTCTCTTTGACTCAGATTTACCGGCGTTGCTGGCTGGTGTTTCGGAAATCTTCCAGCAAAGGTCCCCAGAGGTTGGAAAAATACCCAGATGAGAAGTCAGTGTGTTTACGTGGGTGCCCAAAGGTAAGGTCCTCACCAACTTGCGTGATCTAGAACAGCCATTTCCAACTTCCTTCCAGATGTCTTAGGACTATACCTCACCAGCAGTATCATCCAAAGATATCTGGAATAATCCGTATTAACTTAATGAAGCTTTAGTAAGGCCACATCTGGAATACTACATCCAGTTTTGGTCACCACATTACAGACAAGATGCTGAGACTTTGGAAAAAGTGCAGAAAAAAGCAACTGAGATGACTAAAGGCCTGGAGATTAAAACATATGAAAAAGCTTGTGGGAATTGGGTATAGCTAGTCTAGGGAAAAGAAGGACTGTGGGGACATGATAACTGTTCAAGTATTTGAGGGGCTACCACAAAGAAGAGGAGGTCAGCTTATTCTCCAAAGCACCAGAAGACAAGACAAGAAACATGGATGGAAACTAATCAAGGAGAGAAGCAACCTGGAATTAAGGAGAAATTTCTCAACAGTGAGGGCAATTAACCATTGGAACATCTTGGCCTCCAAAAGTTGTGGGTGCTCCATCACTGGAGGTTTTTAAGAAGAGACTAGACAAGAAAAGGTATAGGATGGAGGGCATTGGGGAGTGCCCCTGCCCCCTTCTGAGAATGGTAGGATCAGACAGACTCCTCCTCAGAGCCAATTTGCAATTTGCCTGCTCCAATTCAGCATCATTGCCTCATTCGGTGACATTCTCATTACCATTCAATGCTTCCCTGGGGCACCATTGAGGTTTGTGTGACGGTGCCGGCTGGAAAAACATACTCGCCCAAGGGAACCATTGGAGCAAAAATAACCTTGTTTATGTGTTACAGGGAATGGTCCTTTCATAATATCCCTTCTCACTGCCAGTGTGTGCTGGCTTCTTTGGTGACTTCCAAAGCTCTCGGCCACCTGCCTTTGACCCAAACTCTGTGCATCCCGAGCCCCTTCGGGTGCCCTCAGCCTCCTAGAAAATGGAGCCAAGTCTGTAGTTCCCTGCCCCATGAGCTTGAGGATTTCTCTCCAGTCCAGCCTAAGGCTCTTCTGGCCAAAATGGTACCAGATTCACTTGCCTTAAGGAGATCCTAAGTGGCAAAGTTGTTCCTGGTGGCTTTGAGAGCACAAAACCGGGAAGTGATTTGGCACCGCCTTCTGGAACCCAGCCTGATCTCCCATCCAAGTACTAAGTGGATCCATCCATTGCCTAGCTTTTGAAAATCACCAAGGCCAACCAGATATTCACTCCAAACTCAGCCAAGGCTGGTAACTCTGAAATAATCAATGGTTTTCAAACTCATTCAAATTCGAAAGCTGGAATAGTTGAAAATAAAGAAATCTAGTTCCAGTGGCTTATCCCAGCGTCTATCATCCCTTCTACCCGTGCCCTTTGGATGTCCTTGGATAATGGTCCAAGAAGCCAAGCATAACTAAACTGTTTATCCTTTTCTTTGGGCTGGTAACCTTCTCCAGAAGAGCATCGCCAGTCATAAGACAGCTGGGGGGGGGGCACCAAGTTAGGGCAAATAGTAGCAGAACATGCTGGAAGGTACCTCAAAAATAAAAAGGAGCTTTCATACAGAATCTGGCTTTTCCTCCAGGTCACAGAGATCAGCAACGTGAAATGTATCACGAGGCTGCCCAAGGAGACCAAACGACAAGCTGTTGCCATCATATTTATGGACGACTCAGCTCGGACGTTCACCTGTGAATCAGGTAGAGGCTGCTGCTAGAACGGCAGAATTTCTAGTTGCTTTGGGGCAACGGCTGACAAAGTCGGATGGGATCGGGTGGGGTTGCGTTGAATAATAACCATGAGCCTGAATGAGCTGTTTGCCGACAAAGGACATCTGTTGTCTTCGCAGAGCTGGAAGCCGAGGAATGGTACAAAACATTGTCCGTTGAATGCCTGGGGGCACGGCTCAACGACATCAGCCTTGGCGAGCCAGATCTGCTGGCGCCTGGAGTTCAATGTGAGCAAACAGGTAAGGCAGGTGCCCTTCCTTGGCCAGTCCAAACCTAGGAGGCAGGCCCCAAGGATTCGGGGCTAGGTGCACTCTTTGGGTTTGATGCAGCCTTCAGACCTGCCATCGCCAAACCGTAATTTTCTAGGTGCTGTCTAGAAGGGGAACATTCTATAAGGAGTGGAGCCATCCTGTTCATTGCATTTAATGCCATTTGGGCTAAAGTAAAACGAAATGAGAAGTTTGCTTTTGTCCACCCAAAGGTTTCTTGGGTGCCAGTCCTCCCTCCCCTCCCCCTCCCCACCTACTTTTGAAGGCCATCCATGGTGTGATTCCTGAAGACCCCAGGTGGTCATCATCCTAAAAGATCCATGTGCCTCTGTCTTGGAAAGAGGAAGAATGGACTTTGAAGCTGATGGAGCTGGCTGAGTTGGCAAAAGTGACTGCTCTGGTCAAAGATGATAATGAATAAATTGCTTGCGACATGGAGGCCAGTGTTAGATTTCTTACAAGATAAAGAGAAAAATCAACTTTTGATTTTGGGATCTAAGGATTCCATGTGATTTGATGAGAGAAATATTGGGGTTAGGGTTAAGGTTAGATTTTTTAAAAAATTAAAATTATTCATATTTGACAATGACATGTTAGATTAAAATTGGGAAAAGAAAATAATATGAGTATTGGGTTTTTTTTAGTGTTGACTATTAGTATTTTATGTTAATTTAAATATTCACTAGTCCTTGAAACTACTGAAAAAAGCTGGAGGTCAGTTTTGTTTTATATTTGCTCAGTGTATTTTTGATCATTTTTTTTCATCTGTCCCGTTATTCCCCTTTTCCCTTTTATGTTAATTTGTATCTTAACGTTTGTTTATGTAATATAGTAAAGATTCATTAAAAAAAAGTGGAAAAGAGATAGGGGGCAGGCAAACAGTGGAACCTGCAAACTGCTTTTTAAAAGGCTCAGGAAAAACAGTTGTTTGAAGAATTGTGGAAACCGTGCTGGGCAGCGAACACCGACAAAACACAGACACGGATCAAGAAGTGGGCCTTCACTAAGACTTCCATGGTAGTCAAAAACAAAGTGAAAGGGATCAAAATTAAAGTACAACCTCCAAGCTTGTGGGTGGTTTCCGAACGTTTCGTTACCAGGCTAGGTAACATCTTCAGCAGAGTTGAGGGGACGTCAGCGTCCATGTTCTTCTGTTTATCAGGGCTTCAGGTGTGGGTGTGTCAAGTGGGGGTCTTGTGAAGGTACAACTCCACACTTGGAGTCTGAGAAACGGAAGGGTGGAGGATTTTGCTGTTGCTCCGGGCAGGTGTTGGGTGGAAGACGGATGAAGGAGCATTGGGGGGTCCTGAGCCGTTTCTGTCTCTCCTTCTGCAGACCGGTTTAACGTCTTTCTCCTGCCCTGCCCCAACCTGGACATCTATGGCGAATGCAAGCTGCAGATCACCCATGAAAACATTTACCTCTGGGATATGCACAATCCCCGGGTCAAGCTCGTCTCCTGGCCCTTGTGTTCTCTGCGCCGCTACGGACGAGATGCCACACGCTTCACCTTTGAGGCTGGCCGGTATGTCTGCAGCTGACTCCTCTTGGAGTGTGTGTGTGTGTGTGTGTGTGTGTGTGTGTGTGTGTGTGTGTGTGTGTGTTGGGGTGGGGGTTGGTCTCTGTGTGGCAGATCTTCCTTTGGCCAGAAGGCAGGTCATCTTGAAGATGTTGGCGCGCAGGTTGAAGTGAAGTACCTGCAGGGTGCATGAAAGTATGGCTTTCCAAGTCCTGCGTCCTGGATAGGACGCAGAAGATCTGTAGATGATTTGGAAGCAGTCCTTCTCTTGGCTCAAGCCTGTTTTACATGGTTGCTTCAAGGCTATAAAGGAGCCATGGAAAATTCATGCCCGAGATGGGGCTGGAACTCACTGGATCCCGGTGGTTGGCCCAAAGTCACCCAGCCAGCTTTCGTGCCTAAGGTGGGACTAAACTAGAACTCTGGTGGTTGGCCCAAAGTCAGCAGTTTCAGTCTCTTCTGTACGAAGCCAAATCCCCACCTCCAGGACCTTTCAGCCTTCTGTTTTTGTAGGCCACGGTTGTTAATTTTTGCAAGTTGATTTAGATTAGTATTTCTCAACCTTGGCAACTTTTAAGATGTGTGGTTTTCAACTCCCGGGATTCTGGGAGTTGAACATATATCCTGAAGTTGCTAAGATTGTGAAGCACCAGTTTAGACTCTTCCCCGCCTGCATCTGTGAGTCCTCCAGCTAATTGCCATCTACAAAGGCAAGAAATAGGATCTTTCCTTTTATTCCAGACTTCCCTGACTCACTTAGCCTGGCTTTTTATACCACGATTGGAGGATTTTTCCAGCATCACCACACCCTGCTCTGAGGCAGTGGGACTCTGTTCTAACAATAAAACTGTTTTGCTGGCTGAGAAAGCAAAGGAATAATACTTTCCCCCCCCCACCAGCCAGAGGCAAAAACCTCCATTTCTCTCCTCCTTCGCTCTTCTGGGAGGAAGGACAAATCTGGGATCTGTTTAAAAGCTTAACCCCGTGCAATGAAGAATCAATGACCACCTCCTCAGTTGGGCCATGCATAACTCTTATTTCACTCTCTGTACAGCACTGTTATTGCTGGCTACCCCACCCCACAGTTTGCAAATCTTCTTCTAACTTTATTTGTAATCTGCTTTTAGTTCTTTGTTGTTGTTAGTTGCAAAGTCATGTCCGACCTATAGACAACGTTCCTCCAGGCCTTCCTGTCCTCTACCATCTTCTGGAGTCCCTTTAAGCTCAAGCCTACTGCTTCGGTGACTCCATCCAGCCACCTCCTTCTCTGTCGTCCCCTTCTTCTCTTGCCCTCAGTCTTCCCCAGCATCAGGCTCTTCTCCAGTGAGTCCTTCCTTCTCATTGGGTGGCCAAAGGACTTGAGTTTCAACTTCAGGATCTGGCCTTCTAAAGAGCAGTCGGGATTGATCTCCTCTAGGACTGACCGGTTGGATCGATGATTAATAAAGTATTGGCACAATCATGCTGTGACCAATCTAGGTAGTTTTAAAACTACATGCCGGGCTTGGGGGACAGTGATGTGAGTGGCGGGTAGGCTAAATCTACTAGGGTCCCCTGGCTTGGAAATGCACCACGTGTCCTGACAAAAAGAGAAGGGCGCCCATGAGTCCATGTACCCAGAGGGGGGGGGAGCGCAGGCCCCTTTTGCTGTAGTCTCCATCTTGATCTCTGGATATTTTTTGTTGCTTAGCAGGATGTGTGATGCAGGCGAAGGGCTGTACACCTTCCAGACCCAAGAGGGAGAAGAGATCTATCAGAGAGTGCACAGCGCCACTTTGACCATTGCTGAGCAGCACAAGCGTGTCCTGATGGAGATGGAGAAGAACGTGAGAGTGAGTGTCCCTGCCTGCCGGTGGAGGGGAAGGCAGACATCTTTCGGCTTTTGAACATCTTCCAAACATCTGGGGATCAATGAATGATCAGCTTCTCAAACCTGGAAACTTTAAACTAGGTGGAATTCAACTCCTTAGCCATTTTAAACTATGTGGACTTCCAACTCCCAGAATTCCTCAGCCAGAAATTCTGGGAGCTGAATTCCACCAACTTAAGAAACACTTGAGTTTCTTCTGGTCCCTGATGACTTTGGGAAGCCGGCAAGTTGTAGAAGGCTTTTTTCTTTAGAGATGGGAAGTCGCCGTCTGGAAATTACGGTCTCTTGAAAAACTGAGCTGTATAAATTGAGCCTACAGCTCACAAGAGAAATGGAAAAGGGGAGGGTCTGAGCTGGAAGGAAGGTTGTTTCTTGAGACCTCTTTCAAATATCATGGCGATGCTCGGTGTCATTTGTCTAACTCCATGTTTCTTAACTTTAGAAAGTTTGAACTGGTGGACTTCAACTTCCAGAACTCCCAACCAGCCATGCTGGGAGCTGAAGTTGCTGTGCTTGAGAAACTGGTCTAACAGCATGAATTTATATAAATATCTTAACTCACCTGCCGTGCCCAACAGCAGCCATTAGAAGCTCATATGGAAGGGGGAAATTAAGTAAATACATTAGATTGGCTTGTTTAGCTTTTTTGTCAAGTGGTTTGGGGCCCTGTTTGTGGACTCCGAGGAGTGAGATTGTGGTTGTGATGTCGCTAGAATGGCAAAGGGGGAGGCGAGTGTTTAGCGCCACCTCAGAGCAAAAAAAATAAAACCTGAATTATTTGGGAACTGTGCACAGCCCTTAAGCCTAGATTAAGGCACTATAAAAACCAGAGCCTTCCATTATCCGAAACCTCATGATTGTCCACATTGGAGGAGCCCTTATCTCTTTATATCCAGACTGTTTAGTGTCACATTCCAGACACCCACTTGAAAAGCTTTCCCAAACACTGAGTGTAGCACGAGGGCCAGATATTGGCCTCTTTTTCCCAGTCCGAGATCTGCAAACCACAATTACAGCTTGGAGGTTGATCCAAAGTGAGAGGGTATCCTGCTTGCTTTCTTTTTTAGACCGATGTTTTCCAAGGGGAAGACGGAAACCAAAAAACCCCATGCCATGAATGAGAAAGGGAGAAGTTTCATGAGATTACATGGGGTGGCATCAGTGCAGTTTCCTGTAGACCTGTGTTGTTCAATCTTGGCCACTTTAAGATGGGTGGGCTTCTGGCTGGCGGGGGAATTCTGGAAGTTGAAGTCCACCCATCTCAAAGGTGCCAAATTTTGAAAAAAAAACCCGCTGCAGCAGAGCATGCAGGATAGCAAAGCATTTTGACTGCTGGATATGGTTGGGAGGAGAGGAATGAAAGAAACGTTGCTGTTTCAACCACATTTTAATTAAATTAATTCATAAAGTGGCCCCTTTGTGCCAGACCAATAGAGATAAATAAGACTTCTTCAAGGGAACTCTGAAGTATTTTCATACGAATTCTCTTTCCCATTGTACACAGCCCTTTTACTGAGTGTTCCCCTCTGCAGATTCATTCATTCATTCATTCATTCATTCATTCATTCATTCATTCATTCATTTTCTATGGCCACCTATCTCAATGACTCTGGGCAGCTTACAGCTCAGAAAATATATTTTAAAAACATTTTAAAAACTAAAACCAGTAAAAACAACAACCTTAAAACAGTTCAGATTTTGGAAGCTGACCTCCAGCTCTTTGTTCTTTTCCAGTTGTTGAACAAGGGGACAGAGCATTACTCCTATCCCTGCACACCTACCACCATGTTGCCACGCAGCGCTTACTGGCATCACATCACCGGCTCACAGAACATTGCCGAGTCTTCCAGCTACGGGGGTGAGTGCTCATCTTGTCCATTCAGCCTAGGAATAATGTCAGACCTGCCCCAACTTCGGTCTCTAAGAAAGAAAGACCCTTGACTCCATTCAGCTGAAGTGATAGGTGCTGTTACTAAAGTTAAGTGGGTTGCAGCAAAAATAAAGCTAGATCTGAATATTCTCACACAAAGATTACAACTTTTTCCCTGTTCCCTGCCCCCCACCTTGACCGGTCTATCAGTCTTCAATAGCATGCCGTTGTGATGTTTTGGGAACTGCTTGGATGTTTGGCGCCTGTTGATGCAGTGTTGTGTTCTTTTCCCAGGCCAGGTGTCCTGGATGGTTGGCTTATTTTTGGCACCTCTGGTTTGGCACCTCTGGCTTTTGTCAACAGGTCTCCCTTTCCGCCATTTTTCTTCTCCTTCCCATACCCTAAATTCCCTCTCCCCTTCCCTGAGAATGCCAGCAAAGTGAACAAGCTGAAGATGGCAGTCCTGACAGATAGTTTCAAGATCATGTGAAGTGTTAGTACCATTTTATACTGCACTAGTGAGGCCACACTTGGAATACTGCATACAGTTCTGGTCACTGTGATACAAAGCAGATGTTGAGACTGTACAGAAGGGGTTCAGAGAAGAGCAACAAAGATGATTAGTGGGTTGGAGGCTAAAACATGATGAATGGTTGCAGGAAGTGGGTATGTCTAGTCTAAGAGAAGGATTAGCAGTGACATGATAGCAGTGTTCCAGTATTTGAGGAGCTGCCACCAAGAAGAGGGAATCAACCTATTTACCAAAACACCAGAAGCCAAGACAAGGAGCAATGGATGGAAACTGAACGAAGAGAGAAACAACCTAGAACTAAGAAGCAATTTCCTGACTGTAAGAACAATCAACCAGTGGAACAACTTGCCTTCAGAAGTTGTGGGTGCTTCATCACTGGAGACTGGAAAGCCACTTGTCTGAAGTGTGTCTTGCTTGACCAGGGGGTTGGACTAGAAGACCTCCAAACTCTCTTCCAACTCTGATGTTCTGATGTTCTCTTCTTTGACTGCTCTTGCATCCTTCTTGGACGTGAAAAGCTTTTTCTGGATTAGTACACTGCTAAATATAAGCAATCTGACAGGACAGCTTTAATTTAATGCAACATTAAGATGATATTCTGCAGTCAATCATTCTGCCTACTGTGTTCCATTCCATATTAATATACAGGGGCTCAGTGCAAATGGAGTTAGGCCCTTTTAAACTCCCTATCAATTTCCAGATTGCATCTTTCCATTTTGTCTCTGGAGCTAAGAAAGCAAGGCTCAATTGTGTCTGGATCCTGTCCAGTGAATTCATTTATTTAAAATGCTCCTTCATTCAGAGTCGTTCTCTATCTCTGTTGGAAGCAATTGGTGATGTTCTCTCTGATGGCTTCTCTAAAGCTCCCAAGGGGAATTATGTAGATATTTATAATATTCAAATGCAACAGCAAAGAATCCAAGGTTGCCCACGTCTGATAAAAGTTGATAGTGGTCATAATAAAGCAGCTATAAAAGAATTCACATCAGCAGTAGGAACAATCAGTTTTACATATAATTTAAATTATTAAATTAAGGCAGAACAAGGAGGCATCACCTCAAACTAACAGAGAGAAGTTCAAAAGTCATGATAGAAAGTATGTCTTCACAGAAAGAGTAGCTTTTGGAACCCACTTCCAGCCAAGGCAGTGGGTCAGTCATCAGTAACTGAGTTTAAGCTTGCTTGGATTAAATACAGCTCCAGTTCTGAAATAGAAGTGGACAGTCCATTTTTTGTTAAGAACTGGGATAATCTCTTGGAGACCACATTGAGGGGGGGGGGGTGAGGCTGAAGTAACAGGCCACATGGCAGAAATAGATAACTCTTATCAAGAGGCAAATAGCTTTCTTGCAAGGGGCATTTGTATGTTTGTTAACTCTGAAAAAAGTTTTGAGTTGAATTCCAATCTTATTTTCCTGACAGCTCTACATGGTTGGCATTTTCTTGCTGGTTGTTTTTTCTACTTCTCCACCAGCTGTGGGGTTATTTTAGCATTCTAACGGGGTCTAATCCTGCTTTGTTTCAGAGTTCAAATAAAGTCAATCAAGTGCCGCAGCTGCTAATGTGGCAGTTCAGAAGAGCTGCTTTTAAGTCAGATATCATAAACAGACAAAGTCCTTTCAAGTTTTTCCTGGGAATTTATCTTTTTTGCATTCTGTTCCATTCCACTCCCCCTTACTCTACTGGATGAATGTCATCTAGTTTTAATCCTAGTTATTTTACTCACTTTTTACACTTCCTATATTTCTATGGTCTGTTTTATACCTGTTTTATTCGCTCAGTGTTGAATGTTATACAAGTTGTCCTCAACCTACGGCCACAAATGAGCCCCAAATTTATGTTGCTAAGTGAGACATTTGTTAAGTGGGTTTTGCCTCATTTTACGACCTTTCTTGCAACGGTTGTTAAGTGAATCACCGCCGTTGTTAAATTAGTGGCATTATTGTTAAGTGAATCTGGCTTCCCCATTGACTTTGCTTGTCAGACGTTCGCAAAAGTTGATCACATGACCCCCAGGGACACTGCAACCGTCGTAAATAGGAAGCACCTGGATTTTGATCCCTTGACCTTGGGGATGCAGCAACAGTCATAAGTGTGTGAAAATGGTCGTAAGTCACTTTTTTCAGTGTCGTAACTTTGAACGGTCACTAGATTGAACTGTTGTAAGTTGAGGACTATCCATATGTCCCTAATTTGTAGGTCTTTCTGATAGAAAAAAAAAAAAGAGAAAGAACTTGAGACTTGAACCAGACAAAATCTCCCTTTGCCCACAGGTGACACCTACCCCGGTCCCCAGGCCAGCTCAGAGACTGATCTCCTGAACCGCTTAATCTTACTGAAGCCCAACGCTTCCAAGAGCGGGAAGAGTGACAGCAAAGACGCCACCTCGGCTACCCAGTGAGGCCGCTCAGTGCCCAGAGAGGAAAGCCGTTGGGATGCCAACTCGGGCAAAGGAACCGAGGGTTTTTCACCTGCTCCTGCCCTTCCACCAAAGGCCCAGGGACGCCATTTTGCTGCAGAGAAACGGAGCAGGCTTTGCCCCAGGTGCATCAAACACGAACGTTCTAGGTCCAGGCGCTGTGGACAGTCTGGCCAGCGAGCCCTGCTTGGCCCAGGATGTGAGCGGGCATCCAGATCTTCTGAGAAGGACTAGCTATATATTATTACAACTATTTTCAATATATTGTATTGTTTATGCATATCCTATATATCCAGAGAGAGGTCTCACCGGAACGGACCTCTCTTGATGGCCATCAAGGCAAGAACTTTAGACAATCAGGGGGAGGGCTGGATCCCCGGGGGGGGGCATCTTCCTTTCTCACCTGGGGCCAGCGCCTTGGACAGGGGCAGAGCGAAGTCTTCCCACGTCACTTGGGAGCCGAAGGATGGACCCCGAGGGGTTGCGGGGCCAGAAGAGGGGCTGCCAGCTCATTCCTCTGCCGATCCATGCTGCAGACCTAAACCAGGTCTTTGGGAGGCCCCAAATAAACCCTGTCTTTGGCACAACAACCTTACAGGGGAGAGAAGAGCAACAAAAGGCATCCTCGGGGACATTTGCAAAGCCTCTGCCTGCCCTTCTCGGAAACGCAACTTGCGCACCAGTGCTTCCTCACAGACCCTTCAGCTCTGCCTGGAGAAGCCAGCTTCCTCTCCAGCTGCAAGGGTAGCACAACTTTTCTTCCTGCTGTGCTCTCTCCATGGGGCTGCCAGCTCAGGGCAAGCGGGTGGAGGGGGGGTGTTTGAGGCATTGGCGGAGCCGGTTCTGTTTCCTAAGCCCCAAAGCTGCTCCTCGGGGCTATTTGGGGGCAGAGCGTGAGCTGCGGGAAAGGGGCGGGATGGCTCTCCCTTTCAAACACGGGTGCTCTGTTGGAGGTCTGTTCCCACGAGCCACAGACCCAGGTGGTTCCCGAAGGGAGGAGATAATGATTCAGTTTGCCGCAAGCCTCCTTTAGTTAGCATGTGGGGCGAACCCAGCCACTGGGTTTGCCCAGCGGGATTTACAGCTTAGCAGGTAAACTCAGTCCCATGTGGCTTATTCAACCAACCGTGGTTCATGCCAACCATTGCCTCAGCACAATGTGGAAGCCGGCGATTGCGAGAAGGGAAGCAGATTGGGGTGGCCTCCTTGAGCAGGGGGTGATTGGAAGATCTCGTCACATTCCAGTTGGAAAGTTTTGCCTCTCCTCAAGCGTAATTCCTACCTCTACCCCAATAAACCATGCCCGAGGCCTGGCCAAGGGGCTAGTGCTGACCACTCCTTCCTTTCTCAGTCCCCAAGGCCAAAAAAGCTGTGGGCCCACCGGTCAGTCCAAACCTTCCTTTTGATTGGCAGGAGACAATCAATTGCTCGCTTCCAGAAGCCCCCTTCTTCCAATTCCCGGCTTCTTTTTCTCTTCTGGATAGTCCAAAAGAGGATCCATTTTTAGCCTGGCACCTTGACCATGGCTTGGCCTTCGGACAGAAGCACAGTGGAGGAAATGTCTTTCCATGCTTTGAAGGACTCTGTTGAAGGAAGTCTCTGCTTTCCTTCTTGAAAAGCCCCCTTCTCCCCACATCCCACCCTCCCTCCTTTCCCCGATACAGTTAGTCAAGGCAACCTTCTCCAAGCTGGTGCTCTCCGGATGTAGCACTCCAGATCCCATAATCCACTCGTCCGCACTGCCAAGGGAGGATGTGATCTGACGCCCCAGTAGATCTGGAGACCACCAGCTTGGGAAGGGCTCATCTTGGTGAAATGCTTCCACGGAGCACCTGGATTTCCTATGCTGAACTTTTTTTAACAAAAGCAATTGGTTTTCTAGTTTTACTATTTATTGAATAACTTTTAGAAGGGCTATCTTTTTATAGTCGTACCATTGGTAGTGGGTTTTTTTTGTGTGTGTTCTTTACTTTGTTCCTTTCTTTCTCTCTCTCTCTCTCTCTCAATAATGCTGGAGATATTTACCCTCTCTTGTGCTCTGTATGTGTAAATAACCGTGTTTTGGATCCTGTGTGTGAGAAAAGAGACGTTTCCAAGCCGGGAGAGGAAACGTGGAACAGAAGGGAACGGCCAATGTCTAGCTCAGCTCCAAGTCCAGTTGAAGTCTATTTTAACGCCAATGTATTGGGAGGGGAGGGGAAGGGTGGGGTGGGATCAGAGGCCACAGGCTGCAGTGAAAGCACCCAAATGTTTTGTAACGGATGATTTTCCCCAGAATTCCTATGCTGTTCTTCCCAAGGCCATCTGCAAAAACAAAACACAATTCTGAGCCTGATATTAAATTAGCCACAGCATCACCACTGCTTCACAGTTGCCTCTTACCATTTCTTTCGTCAAGCGGGGGGTTGGGGTGGGGACCTCAAAATGCAGCAGAATTGTGGATGCAAATTTGGGGCCCGGGGTTCAAGACTTGAGGTGGGCAATGCTTCAGGCTTCAAATGCTTCAAGCTCCGACCGGAAAATTGATAAGGCTGAAGCTGTTTCTCAGTATCACCAAATGTTAAGGTGTGTAGACTTCAACTCCCAGAATTCTCCAGCCAGCATGGATTGAGCAGAGTTGAAATCCGCTCATCTGATAGCTGCCAAGGTTGAGAAATACAGAACTGGCAAGGGCGGAAAATAAATGGCCATCCAGAGGTTGCCAAGATACACATTACAGCAACTCTCCTGTCAGGCCTCAAGAACAAAGAACAACACATGGAGTTACTTAAAAGGGGAGATATGATAGCAGAGTTCCAGTATTTGAGGGGCTGCCACAAAGAAGAGGGGGTCAACACATTTTCCAAAGCACCTGAAGGCAGGACAAGAAACAACGGATGGAAACTAATCAAGGACAGAAGCAACCTGGAATTAAACAGAAATTGTGGGCGCTCTATCACTGGAGATTTTTAAGAAGAGACTGGACAGCCATTTGTCTGGAATGCTGTAGGGTTTCCTGCCTGAACGGTGATGGACTAGAAGACCTCCAAGGTCCCTTCCAACTCTCGTTATTCTGTTCTATTCTGTGAAAACCCAACCAGTCAAAACAAAAACTCACAAAATGGCCCTCAATTTACAATACAGGTGAAAGAACTGGGAAAATCCATTTTTGAAGTGAACTAGCAGCATTGCCAATATTGCAACTCAGAAATAACTAACATGTTTGCCTTTATCCACTTCCTATTATAGGCTTGAATTCTTCATGTAAAAAAGCAATCACCTTAAGGCCAAAAGAACTTTTGGAATAATTATAGACATGAGACATTTATCATCTTTTCTAAAGTTCTTCACCATGTAAGCAAACTGAAGCTTATTTGAACTGCACAGCAGAACCACAAATGCTTTTCAATTTCTAAACAGCCTTGGGGCTCTTACATCTTGGATCAAATCCATTCAGTAAAAAAGGGCAGAAATGCAGAGTGCTGGATTTTATGGAGTACATATTGAGAAAACCTACAGTGGTCAATATGATTTATTCTGGAGTAAGCTTAGTTATGTTCCAAATCTTTCAGAAAGAAGCCCAGGAATAATTGTAAGTATTTTCTAGAGGGATAGGCCGGATCGAGGATTTATCAACACTCTCACATTCCCAGTAATTCCCATGGAAGCTGTGAGGTTGTTCTACAGGAATGGTAAACAGTAACACTGAAAAATGCTCACTATTTTTTAATGAACATACAGACGTGTCCAAACATACAGGAAAATATATATTCACAAGAGTGCCATAAATACACTGTCAACAAACAGCAGAGCAGAATGCTGGATTTTAAACTGAGAAGTGCTGGGAGGTCATTTTTGCCAATTCCACAAATACAACATAAGTCAGTTTGTGGCCAAGACAGACTTAAGATATCCAGGTGGGGAAAATGAAAAGAAGGGTGTTGGGGTCTAAAACCTAAAGAATTTGGAGCCTCAAGGACTTCTGTCACCCTTCTATCATCTTCTCAAACTTAAACCCGTTCTGGTAAACACAGAATTTAATTTTTTGGGTTACTGTTGGTTGAATAGATCACCAGGGTGGCCAGCAATTCCACGTGCTCCAAAAAAAGCCAAGTTTTTTTACATCAAGACAGATGAAATGGTGTGCTTGTTTTAACGGTGGTACAGAGTAAGTGACAGTTTCACGTTCTTGTGACGAGATTTACAGGACACCGTTTCTTTGCTAGTCTCAGAAGAAATGCTCAAAGGCTCCTATCTAGTGGCTAAATTGCTTCATCGACGCTGGTTGAGGCCGCTGAGATTCTTGAACTGTCAGATACAAAAACAGTAAAACATTTTAAAAGAAAAAAATGGGGGAGACCATGAGAAAGTTAGAAGCTGCAAGCATGCAAAATGGGATACGGTTAGACGTTTCCTGACAGCGAATCCCACCCAAGCCATGAATGTTGATCCAAGCAACAGTGCTTAAAATCACCCTATCTGTCAAAAAAAAACACTAGCCCTTGCATCTGAGTTCACGGGATATTAAGGGATCCCCCAAACACTCAATTGCTGCTTTGGGAAATATGAATACAACAATATCTGATGTCAGTGGTGGGATTCAAATAGGTGAACAGCCCGTTCTCTGTGTGGGATGTCGCTTTCGGAAGTCCATTCTGAGCCTGGGCAACAAAAAATTAGCTACCGGTTCTGCCGAACTGGTGTGAACTGGCTGAATCTCACTGCTGTCTGATGTCAAGTATGTGGAAGTTTTCATGCCTAAGGTGGGACTAGAACTCACTACCTCCTGGTGATGACCAGTCACCTTTCATGCCTAAGGTGGGACTAGAACTCACCGCCTCCTGGTGATTGACCCAGTCACCACCCAGCTTTCATGCCTAAGGTGGGACTAGAACTCATTCTACTGGTTTCCAGACTGATACTTTAACCACTAGATCAAAATGGCACGCCGAGAATAAACTCCATATAGCAAACTCCTGGACTTCTTGAGTGAACTGGCTAAGGAATTCAGCAAAACACTAGGCTGGAATTAAAGCACCCTTCCTGCATTCCGCTATGAAATAACTTAATCCCATTAAAAGAAATGAACATTTCTTCCTTAAATTAATTGGGGTGAAATTAATTGGGAGAAAGGGCTTGCTGCACGTTATTTGTATCTGTTTCTGCAAAGATGATTCCGAGATGAAAGGCATTCAGCTAAGACTAGTCATCCCTATGAATTACTTCAGGAAAAACCATTATTTAGGGCAGCTCACATATCCCACCCACCCACCCCTTTTAAAGAAACCACGATACTTCGCTGCATTTTTCCATTCTGTAACAGCAGAAACATTCTTGAGGGAAAGACTGGTTCCGAGCAAAGGTGGTGGGAAATCCGGTGTCTGGAATTACTCACGGTAACAGCAGCGCCCAGAATTCCCTGAAGAAGGGCCTCTCCAGTTGCCTTGACCTAGAAGAACCAAACCACAGAGATGGAAAACTTCAACTACAAGCTGGCTTTTACATTTCTGCAAAAAGCAATCAGGAAACGTCCTAAATCCAGCCACAGTGATGCCCTCCTGATGCGCTGAAGTCCCAGAATTCGCCCCTAACACGGCCTTCACACTTACAACTGTAATCGATCCTGCCACACCTGCCTGGTCATAAAACAGGCCATCACGTGGCCCAGTTTGATGACTTTTTTGGGCAGCAGTCATTAAGCGAAAGCAATGGTTGTAAAGCAGAATGCCAGGGCTGTTAAGCAAATGTGTTTGCGGTGGGACGTTTTTGCCGAAAACCAAAAGCAGGCACTTTGCGTGACCACAAGTCGCGGCAAGCAGCCATAGATGCAGCCCAATTACTAAGCGCCCAACACGTGTTCAAGGGATCACGGGAAGGCCCCGTGGCCATCAGAATCACGTCATAAGTATCTCTTGAGGGTTCCACTCTAACTTCAAACAGTTGCTAAGTGATTGGGGGTAAGTTGAGGTTACTTTTGTGACTTTGGAGGGTGGAAGGAGAGAGCTTGACCATCTCACTGGAAGACCTGCATGGCACAAGGGTCAGCTGGTCACAAATTCATAATTAGAACTCACCTGTTTAGCTGTGTGGCCCACGTTCATTGCGTCAGCAACTCTGTTGTATAGGAAGGACCACGTGTGCTCAAAATCCGGGGAGGAATCCTGAATCATCACAAGTTCTGTGGTGTTATAAATTCCAGCCAGGACTACTCGGCGAGTGTACCAATTTATCTGCAAGACCCGGAATTAAGAGACTCAGAAGACGTGAAACCCAATAACAAATTAAGCTTTTGCAAACTACATTGATATGAAACTCCTACCCATGTTTTTAATCACAAAAAGTGCAGAGAAGAGCAACTAAGACGATTAAAGGCTTGGAGACTAACAGATATGAAGAATTACTGCAGGGTTTGGATTTGGCCAGTCTAGAGAAAAGAAGGGCTGGGGGGGGGCATGATAGCAGTTTTCCAGTATTTGAGAGGCTGCCACAAAGAGGAAGGGGTCAACTTATTTTCCAAAACACCCAAAGGCATCAAGGAGAGAAGCAACCTGGAATTAAGGAGAAACTTCCTTACAGTGAGGATAATTAACCAGGGGAACAGCTCGCCTCCAGAAATTGTGGATGTTTCATCAATGGAGGTTTTTAAGAAAAGACTGGATAGCCACGTCTGAAATGGTATAGGGTCTCCTGCTTGAGCAGGGAGTTGGACTAGATGACCTCCAAGGTCCTTTCCAGCTCTATTCTGAATGGAATTGAATTGACAGACAGGTATCTTGTAAGCAAGTCTATACTTTCTAAGCAGATTTTCACTTTCCATTCCATGCTATCCAGTGTGGAAAAGGGCATCCATTTCCAGCTCTATAAATGTTACATCTTGTGCTGCCCCAAAGAGCTGCACTGATAAATTAGAAACAGCAAAAAAAAAAAAAAGTTTTTTTCCCAATTTCCAAGACAGCAGAAGTAGAAAAAAAGTAAACCAGGCTCTCTTGTGGAAGCTGAATTTCTTAAAAGCTCCACTACAATTTGCATACTCCCAGAAAAACTTTAGTTTCCTAGTGTGATCTCTGTCTTTTATTTGGCTTTCTTCTAGTTTATTCCTTTAATTTGTCTGTTTGCCATTTATTTGTTACTGCAGTAGCTGCTGTTTTATGCTTGCACAGGCTTATTAAAACCATTTATTAAAAGGCCCTGCTAAGCTCTTCTTATCCCTTTCTTCTCTTTATAATAGGTCAACTAGTTCATTAATTGGTTTAATTAAGTTGTAATTTACTCTGTTTTTATTTCCACCCCCCCCCCAAAAAAATCCAATGGCTCTCATCATTAAGAACTGAGTATTTTAGGTAACTGCTTTAAAACATTTTCAAACAGAATCTTTCCTTTTCTGGCATGCTGGAAGGAGAAGAATCTGAAGAGCAGAACCATATTTCACCCAGGCAAATGCCTGTTCTACTCTGGGTGGCCCTAAAGATAAAGACTCCCCACTCCCCTTATTTGCTGACTTCTACCAAAAGAGACCAATTTCCAACCTGAAAACTTGAATGCGGCATGGATTTACTCATTGGCAGAATTAAACCAGTTGTAAAAGTGTTATCTGTTTCGATCTGATGATTTACAGTTTGGCAGCATTCATAGTTTTTATAAAATTGCATCACACAACCCTTCAGATGTCTTCAAGAAAGAAATGGTGATTCATAAATATTAGAAAGATGGGCAAAAATAGAAACATAGCCCTATCTGGTCTATCACTACACTACAGCCTGTTCTGTGGCCTGGAATGGAAAAAGTTAATTTGAATTTATAAAACAAAACGCAAAACGTATCTTCTGATCCAGAACCAGGGCAGCCTGGATACAGGTAGTCCTCAACGTACAACCACAATTGAGCCCCAAAGGTATGTTGCTAAGCAAAACAATTGTCAAGTAAATTTGCCCCCATGTTACGACTTTTCCTGCCACAGTTAAGTAAATCACTGCAGTTGTTAAGTTAGTAACACGTTTGTTAAGTGAATTTGGCTTCCCCATTGACTTTGCTTGTCTGAAGGTCACAAAAGACCAAACACGTGACCCCAGGACACTGCAACCGTCATAAATACAAGTCAGTTGCCAAGCGTCTGAATTTTGATCCTGTGGCTCCTGCAACTCTCGTTAAGTCTGAAAAACAGGCATAAGTCACTTTTTCCGGTGCTGTTGTAACTTCAAAGGGTCCCTAAATGAACTGTTGTAAATTGAGGACTAGCTGTACTGCCTGACCCCCAAGCCACTCGTATGGATTAACAGATGTCCTTTGCCCTTGTCTTTTGCTCATGGACCTAACCCTTTTCTCTTGAGAAACTAAGCACGAGTGTTGCATGCACTCTCTCAATTATGCTTTCCTGGAAAACAGGTTTGCCAGGGTGATTAGAAATACTGACTACTATGAACTACGTGAAACCTGAACGTGTCTTCTCCCTGCAGTCCACAGCAGCCTGAATCTAGCAGGTGGGAGCGAGAGTTTTTCTGCAACCCTGAATGAAGTCACACCAATCCCGTTAATCTCCCATATTGCTTCAATTTCTGCTGGACATAATTTTAAAGGGTCGTATGCCAGGAACCAAGCAACTGCAGTTGTAGCAGGTGGACAGGTATATCTTTTTTAAGCCAGCGTTTCTCAAACTTAGCAATTTCAAGATCTGCAGAATTCAACTCCTAGAAGACTACAGATCTTAAAGTTGTCACGGTTGACAAACACTGCTCTATGCCAAGGGTGAGCAACTATGGTGACTTTACAACCGGTGGACTTCAACTCCCAGAATTCCTCAGCCAGGATGGCTGCCTCAGGAATTCTGGAAGTTGAAGCCCACAAGTCTTAAAGTTGCCAAGTTTGGAGATCCCTGCCCTAAGCCATGGTTTACAAGTCACAATAAATCAGTATCCATATTAAGTCAGAGCCAGAGCCAAAGCCACAGTGATCTGGCCCAGGGGTGTCAAACTCGCAACGTCATGTGATGTGTCTTAACTTTTTTGCCATTGCCAGCAATGGGGTAGGTGTGGTTTTGCTATGATGCATCCGGCCCGTGGGCCAGCAGTTTGACACACCTGGTCTAGCCGACCATGTGAATCCAGTGAATATATGTCCTACGCCTACCTCCTTTGACCCTGAACTGCACATTTTGTAGCCCCAAATATATTTGCCCTGCAAAGCAGCATATTTCCAACCTTTCCACAGCCTCCCCAGACTTACATCGGTGGACTGATCCCCTGCATAGTGCCAGATGTCATCCACCATGGTGGTAAGCAGGTTGAAGCTGGATGGAATATTGTGTGGCATCAGCAACACGCTCATAGCCTAAGGAAAACCAGAGAAACGGGTTAACCAAAGAGGAACATTCTTAACCTACAACCCTCCAGATGTTTTAATCTTCTAAGTATTATGGGAGACTTTGGGGAAAAGGCAAAGGACAGGAGAAAAAAAGGGGGGGAATGAAGTTGTGGGTGCTCCATGGCATTCTGATTTCTGGGGCCATCTAATAGGAATTAGATGTTGATAAATTTGATCTAATGGGAAGTGAATATTTTTTTATTATTCATGTATGAGATTCTAGCCTCTTGTACAGAAAGTCAAGACAACAGATATGGTTCTCCTTTCTCCTATCCTTCACTACAACAAAGAGTATCTTTTTGAGGGAGATGGCGGTTCCAAAATATGAAAAATTAATTAATATCATGTCTATCTGTCTATCTATCAATCATCGTCTATCTCCCTATCATTTACCTCTTATCTATATCCAGCCATCTACACAGACAAATCATATGGCATGGATTAATGCACAAACACAAACTTTTTTTAACTTGATGAATGTCACTGCGTTACTTAGGGCCCAAAAGACTTTTAAAAATTGTTTCAGAAGGTCACAAAGACCCAATCGCATAAAAGAGCCAGCCAAGGAACAAAACTTATACACTGCTGTCTGTCTTCCCTCTCTGACAAAAACTCCTTTTGGGGGATCCATCCAAGCAAGAAAAGAAGATCAGTTCAGGCTGGGGGTTGGGAGTTCATTCGCCCAAGAGGGGAGAAAAAAGAAGTAATTTCTCTCTGCTGCGTCCGCCAAGTAGGAACCTCTCCTGTTCATTTCTAAACAGAGAAGCATTCAACCATCGACATGCTCTGTTCTAAACGCACTGAGATAATCTAGGAACATTGCAAGAACACCAAGAAAAGCAGATTAGTTTTATACCTGAGGCCATTTTTTAATATACGGAATGAGCATTCTCAGCCTCGCTTCCAAAGCATCTTTTACAAACTGGTCTGTCTTCTTCTTCCTTTCAAAAGAGAAGAATTATTTAGTGCAATTCGCTCTTGCCTGTCTCTCGTGCTCAAGGTCTGTACTCAAGATGCCAAGACAGGTTACCTGCCGAAGCACCGTTCTGGAGAAACCTCCCTGTGCTCAGTGCCACTGCCATCCCACTCATTGCTGTTTAGATGGTTAATGTAGCAGCGCCCCTTCCCCTGCTCTGCCTGGGACTTACTCCAGTTGACCAAGCTGTACCAGCTTGTGCTGTTCCTCAAGAAGTTCAGTGAGTCTGGAGTTACTCTGGGACACGAAGTGGAGAATCAGTTCGCTGCCATCACTGTGAAAAAGTCCTGCTGCGGCAACAGAGAGCCCTATGGACTGAAGGAAGGGAAAAAGTTGAGTAGACCGTGGCCTGAGGCTTGGGGACCTCTGAGCTAAGCTAAAGCACCCATCCCTCTGGGTCTCTTAACATGCTGCTTCTCTTAATACGAACCTTAGCCCCTTCTGCAATTGCATCCATTGTCCAGCCATAGGTGGGTACAAATTTTAGAGCTGCTGTCAGGATCCGACTCTGTAGCTGCTCCTCACTCTCGTAGCCCTCTGATTGTTCACCACCCTGATCTGTGTAACTAGGGGTAAAAACATAGGAAGGCATGTCTTACAAGTCCAAAGCTTTTATTATTTTTCCTAATTATAATTGATGCCATCATGAAACCATGCATGCTTTTGTTTGATAAATGGTTAAGATATAGTTTGCTTAGAAAACAGTATTTTTGGCTACAACATTATTGGCAGCTTTGATAAAAACGTTAAGACGTACATCAAATAAACTACGTTATGACTTAGCATTTGTGTAAAGCTAGGCAGAATTTATCTATGAATGTTTATAAGTGCATGGATAGCATACCCAATCATTCTAATGACACGCAGTACACAAAATTGCTCAGTTGTCAATTTGGATGTTGCTTGTAACATCCTCAGAGCAAGATGGAAGAATGCCAGCTACTAAATTACTCACTAAAACATTATACTTTCTCAAAGCCAAGAATTGCTACTTTGGGGAAAGAAGAAAGCTCACAGTCATTCTGGACAGAAATTATGCAGATTACCTAGGGGGTGAGCCTGGATGCTTTTCATTCACAGGAGAAGATGCTGAATGTGGAGGATTGGGAGGTGGGAAGGGGGGCTGTTTCTGTTCTTCTGAAATTCTTTGCAGCGCCACTGCAGGATGGAAGGTCCGCTGAGATTGATACAACTGGCTTCTAAAGACTGAAAACAGAAATTAGTTGAGTAACACAAAAACCTAATGAATCATCTTGTATGCTGTGAAGGCTCCCTTATACATTTCAGAATTCAAAGCCTACAAAAGACCTATGCACAAAATCATGCTACCTAAGAAGACATATGTACACCCTTTACAAAATATGTCACTGGTAGGCCAGACAAGTATTGTTTAAAAATCCAAGCCTTCTTTCATAACGTGCGAAAGAAAGTTTCTAATAAAGGCTACTTCCAATGATGACCTACAAATGATGCTGGCAATTATCTAGAAAACCATAACCCCATTAAAATATTCTTTCTCCTTGACTGTTATGTGCCATCAAGTTAGCATCACCTCCAGGCAATCTCCAAGACGACTGGTCTTCAGCCTGATCCCTCAAGTCTTCCAACAGTGCACGCAGTGCTACTGTGATTGAGTCCATCTACCTTGTTGTTGTTTCTCCTCTCCCTTTTCCCTCATCCCATCTTTCACCAAGTTATATACTTTTGCAAGGTGGGTCTTTGTATGATCTGTCTGAAAAATGTGAGCTTGGTCTTGTGTGCCTCAAGGAAAATTTCTGGATCAATGTTTCTTCAATTATCCATTTGTTTGCTTTTTTGGCTGCTCATGAAATTCTTAGGCGTCTTCTCCAATATTAACGTTCAAAGACATCAATGCAGAGAGTAGCAAGGATGGGTGAAAAGATTATTGGCAGTTCCATCCCAGGACATAGCACATAAGCATTGCTTGAGCAGGGTCCACAGGATTGTCTGGGACACTACACATCCAGATTCAGTCACAGTTTTGTTCCATACAGTATTAACCTTGTGAACTCTCTAGCTTCCTCCTTCCATTATGTATTCAAGATGGACAGTGATTAATATTTATGTTACATATGTAAGGGTGTAGGTCTACACACGTTTATAGTAGGTTTAAATGTGTGTTAAGTATGTGTGCGCTTTGAGAGCAAGCAACTAAATTTCATTTTTAATGTGTGCCATTGTGCCTGTTTTTTTCTTCCATTCAGTCATGTCAGAGAGAGAAACAGAGACAGAGAGATTTTCTTTGAGTCTGTGATGTTATTTATGACTATGTTGTTTTATTGAATGGTTATGCTTATTAGCTTTAACCTTGTTGCCATTCTGAAAATCTGTAAGCCTCTTAGAGATGAGGCGACCGAAGCTTACTAGGATCAATGAATGAATGAATGAATGAATGGAATAAAATAAAGCATTGGGCACCGGCTGCCATTTTGCATTCTCATGGCATCCAAATTCAGGAGTGAAAATTGCAAGAAAAATCAGGCAATCCAAGGCCAGACTTTGCTCCAAGCAGAGAAGCTCCTTCAGTGGTCAGCAAACACCAGGAGGAGAGAAGATCCACCGGCACCAAGAGAGGGAACCGTCGGAGCTCGACTCCCATCCCCAGAATCTCTAACAAGCTGCTGGCTGGGACTTATGGGTATTCCAGTCCAGGCTGTCAAGAGGAGCAGGGTCCAAGAGCGTTTTGGTTGCCCAAGTTGCAAAGGGGATTATTCTCTATCCAACCTACCGCGCAGGCGCAGCGGGGGCACCCCTCCCACGGGGAACTATGTGCATTATGGGCCCTACAGTCGCCTCGGCCGTGGATGATAGGGGGTGTAATCCCACTCGCCTCGCCCCGGATCCCTTCAAGAAGGCATCCTACGTTGATGTATGCAAATGAGCCGGCCCGAAGGGCCTCCCTCGCCCTTCACCTCACCTTCCCTTCCTCCCGCCTGAACTGCGGGGCGCTCGATCCCGCCTCTCCCGGAGCGGAGGAAGCCAAGAGCCTCCTCCCCCCCGTGCCCGAGCCCCGCTCTCCCCCCCGAGCACCTCACCCGCCGGGCAGCGCAGCAGCCCCCGGGCCGATCGCCTCAGCCCCGCCGCGGCCGCCGCCATCTTTGAGTCGGGCGACGAGCGAGGCGGGCAAAGGAGGCGGGGCGAACCGCCGCGGGCGCCATCTAAGAAGCGGGGGCTGGGCGTGACCGCCTCGGGAAGGGGGAGGAGGGAGCGAGGCGCCCGCGATAGGCTAAGGCCTCCCAGTTTCCCCCACGTGCGGTCTCCACCCAATCATAGATTCCGCTCGCTCATTTTGAACTCCGGTGCCGTAAGCGCCATCTTTGAAGCGGGGTCGAGGGGGGCGGGGGCAGCTTTTCCACCGGTGCTCCGCCGCCATCTTTGAAAAGGGCAGATCCAGCTGAGGAGAAAAGCAGGACGGCTGCCGGGCCGAAAAGCACGAGGGGCGACCGGTAGGCGAGGGCAGAGCGGGGAGGTTTCCCGGCGGGGCCGTTGCGCCGAGGAGGCCTTTTCCTTCTCGTCTTTTCTGTGGGAGCCCAAGGGACTGTCCGAGACCCCCGCACAACCACCCTGAGAGGTGGGCCGGGCAACGCGCGCCCTCAGCGGTTAGGACGACCGTGCGGGCCCTCTTAATCCCTCGCTCGGCCTTGTTTTCCTCAGGATTTCCAAAGTGTTTTTAACAATTGCTCTCTGGGCTGGGAAGGAGAGGGTCGAGGTCTGTCTTTGGGGCCGGGGGTGTGTGTGTGAATCTCGCTACGAAAGTGTCAGTTTTGGTCTTTGGAAACCTTAACAAAAAAATGGAAAAGCCCTATTTTTCACGCAATTCCCCCCTCCCCCCAATCCGATAAGAAGAGGGACCTTGCTTTAAATTTTGGGGAAAAATATTCAACATCTGGTAAATAATTTTGATTTCACAGAGCCCTGAGGGGGGACTTGGGGGAACCCCCGGGGGTCCTCGAGACACAGCTTAAAAAAATGCTGCGCTAGAGAATTTAAAGATGACGTCATTTAAATGTTTAATTTAAAGATGGCCAAGGCTTTCTGGGCTGGTGCCTTAATCACTAGACTAGGGGGTCTCCATCCTTGGCGGCTTTAAAGATTTGTGGACTTCAACTCCCAGAATTCCCCAACCAGCCATGCTGCTGGGGAATTCTGGGTGTTGACATCCACAAATCTGGCTGGGGAATTCTGGGAGTTGAAGTCCACAAGTCACCAACTTTGGGGACCCCTGCATCAGACCAAACTGACTATTTCCCTTCTTATTTTCCTACATTTTAGGCATGTTCCTGGAACTAGGCTTGGCTGAAGGGAAAGGAGGGGACAAGGAGTTGGGGAGAGGGTTTAGTGTCCTGTTTCTCTGTTGCTTTTGTATAAGGCAGCCCCTTCCCTCCTCACCGCTTAGTTGGTGCCCGTAGGTACCGTACATTAACTATGACGCCTTGCCTACTGTTGTCCAGAAAGAAAATTCAAAATAATGGCTTATTACAATAGATTATGCTATTAAAGGTCAAATGTAATGGAATTCTTAAGACATGTTTAATTATCGGTTATAGAGCCAATATCTATAATAAAACATGTATTGCACTGCTGTTAGCTGACTTCCCAGAATGCAGAGACAGTTTTTATATTAATCTATTGCTGGCTGGTGACTATGATTCTGCATCCTTGGCAGCGATCAAATTCTGACCCAGTAACTTAAATACTTTATTATTGAATAAGTATTGCAGAGCGTTTTTAATTCTCTCAGGCTTTTGGGCTGTGTTCGGTAAGGCTTCGTTTTTACTGTTGTAGTTTTTGGGCTATGATTTTACATTGAATAAACAAACATACTTATCACATCACCCCCTTGTTATGGCATGCACAAGACATAATAAAGACAGAACAAAAAAGGAAATACAGCTAAAACTATTTTACACTGGCACTTATATTGCGTATAATGGCAAAAATGCCATTTTGGAGGCACTGAAAAAGAATTGAGCAGTTTCCAACATACATTCTTGTTGTCATCCTTTTGCAATTACTGTTAACACAGGTATAGCTCTATCCCCTTAAACCTCCATTTGCATATAAAACAGGCTTTCTGTGTTAACCGCATAACTTTATAGGAATAGTTAAGAATAATGTAGCTGACCCAGATAGGATCTTGCAACCCCGTTTATTTGTTTATATTTCATATTAATGCCCTGTCTCCCTCGGATTTTCTCATTTCTGAGAAAATATAATTGAAAAGTATACAATTCCTCAACATAATGCCTTCTAAATTTAAGGTTTTTTTGAATGCACTCAGAGTTCCTCAAAAATATTGTATTAATTTGAACCTTTATTTGCTATATTTTGTCTTTTTTATTTTAGGGAACAGTGTCTGCTTTCTTTCAGATCTTGAATTAATTCCAACATGGCAGAGTACGGGATCTCTCTCGGTGAACAAGTGGCTGTGGTTTGCGATAGTTATGCCTCTCCCAAGGCACTCCAGAAATTTGTCCAGGATGTTCAAGCAATTATTGGAGCTGAAAGTCATATTTCTGTAGAAAACGTCAATCAGCTGCTTTACTGTGAGTGTTCAGAAGTATTTGTTATCATGGTAAATATGTTTTAGTTAAAGATAACTTGTTCCATTTATAAAGGACAATTCTTCATTATTATTAATACATTAGAAAACTTGTGCTTATCTCTATGCATGATGGTACTTGGTTAATGACTGCTCTGTTTAATGACTGTTCAAAGTTATGATGTCCCTATTGAGGAGACATAGCAGGTCTTTGAACTTGTGACTGTCAAAGTATCCCTGCTGTCACGTGATTGAGATTTGAACACTTGGCAACCAGTCCACATTTATGACTGTTGCCACATCCTACAGTCATGTGACTGCTATTTTTGCATTTCATAGCCGGCTTCCAACAAGCAAAGTCTAAAGAAGATGGCAGTCTCACTGCAAGTTGTAGTCACATGATGTCCCACTTAAAGACTGTCAATGACTTGCTTAACATTAGCAAAAATGATGTAAGTTAGCATAGTCACATGGTGTTTCACTTACAACCATGTCGCACAGTTAATGGTTATGAAATGAGTACTTGTAGTTACAGGTAAAAACTGCTCAGACACTATGTGTTGAGATTATTCCTTTAATCTAGTACAGCAGAGAGAACTCCACAAAGTTTTCCAGCATTGCCACTTGGAAGCACTTTTCCAAAGTCATTCTGACTCCACAAACAGTTATTCATTGTATCTAATTCATTAGCGACTACAGCAGTGTTTTTTGAACTGGACAATTTTAAGCTGTTTAAACTTCAACTCCCAGAATTCCCCAGCTAGCATGATGGGTACGCGCATATACTTAAACTGGTAAGTAGGTACATATCCTGTATATGCCTACCATTTTATTTTCTCAGCATCCCACAAAGAGTCCAGCTTTGATGTGATTCTATCGGGGCTGGTTCCTGGCAGTCTAATGCAGCACAGCACAGAGGTACTTGCTGAAATAGCTCGGATTGTGAAGCCTGGAGGTCGTGTCCTTTTGAAAGAAGCAGTGACCACCAAAACAGGTAAGCTTTTAGTCCTTCTCTTACCTTTGTCCATTAATTGGGCCTCTATTCATCTAATCCACCCTCACTTTTATACCTGTGGAGAATAAAGGCCAGTACAGATTTGGCTGATTTAAACATACTTGTATTTAAAACATGGGAGTACTGGGGGGGGGGAGCCCTTTGGAGGGAGATATGTACTCCAAAAGGTCGTTTCTTCTTGAGTTTAGCCCAACTTTTGATGGTTACCTGGATACATCCATGGAGTTTTCTTAACAATATCCTGCAAGTGGGCTACAACTGTCTCTTCCATGACGTGTTTTTGGCTTCCCAGTTCAGCCTCAATAACCCTGATATTTACTGGAAAATCCCTTCCAAGGAACAGCCAGGTGTGACTTTCATTAGTTTTTGGGCCAAACAGAATTAATCTAATGCTGTCAGTGGCTGAGACCATGTGTAGCCCAGGATGCACCTGTTTGAAGAGGAGCGGTGTTTAATTTTATCCAGTCACAAGCCCCCATTCTGGACAGCGAGAAACAGCTTTTGAAATAGCTCTTGCTGTTACTATCTGGCTCCAAAACTGCACCCCTGCTGATTTCACCTCTCCTAAGTTCCATCTCCTGTAATTCTGTGGCTATTTTTTTATTTCTTTTTTTTCTATTTTAAGAAAATAGAAAATTGTGAAAGTACATAAGAGAAGCCTGATCCTATTGCATTCCTTTATTAAATCAATGTATTCTATCAGGAGTAATTTGGAAAAAAAATCTCAGGTTCTTTTTTTCTCCTCATAACTTACTTTTATTTATGGATATTGGCTACATGTTCTATTTCTCAGGTAATGACAAACTCAAGACAGTAAGCAAACTACAAACAATCGCAACACTCTCTGGATTGGTTGAAGTAAAAGAGGTAAGCATTTTGATGTTGAGTTTTCAAGAGATTGTTATAAAAGACTACGCTTTAAAGAGGCCTTTATGCGGCTGTTCAAAAATACGGCTTTATAAAACTGTTTGATAGAAGTATATATAAAATATGCAATACAGCAACCTTATAATCTCAGATCATACTTCGAAGGAAATAACAAAATACATTTGAGAAGCAAAAGATTGGGTTTACCTAGTGAATAAGCAAAAATGCCTCTGGAAAAATCTTCCTTTAATAGGGGGGTGTTATTTTGTTTGTAATTAGCCACCATGGATAATAAATTAGCACTTGTTCAGGTCTTCCCTGGCTGGATGGATTAACCAGTAAAGTAACTTGTTTTTTCCCCTTGCTATCCAGCTGCAGAAGGACACTTTAAGCTCAGAACAAATTCAGGCTATCCAGAAGCATCTGGATCTGCAATGCAATGAAATTCTTGCAGTTCAGTTAGAAGGCAAAAAGCCTAATTTTGAGATTGGATCTGCAAGTCAGCTCAAGCTTTCCACTGTCAAGAAATCAACAACTGGTAAGAAAAACAGAGAGACTTTGTCTTCTCAGATCTTCCCCCCCAGGTTTCCTTAAGAACATCATTAGCAATCATCCTAAGTATGGGTAAATTGAGATTCGGTGTATACCCTGCCATTATTTTGCCCAGATCAAGGCAGTAAATATAATCCTCCCACCTCCTATTTTCCCCACAACAACCACCTTGTAAAGTGGGTTGGTTAAGAGAATTGACTAGCCCAATGTCACCCAGCTGGTTCAATGCCTAAGGGATGACTACAACTCCCAGTCTCCCAGTCCAGCACCTTCACCTCCATACCAAACTAGTTCTCAAAAGCCTGGTCCTTTGGCTGTTGATTAACAGGTCCTGTCTCAATTATAGATCTCATTTGACTCTTTTCAGAGGAAAAGAATAATACTAATCAGACTTTCCATGATTATAATTTTTTGTTTAAATGGACCATTAAAGAATACATTGTCTTCCAAAATCTTAGCTCTGAGGTATCAAAAATCCCCCAGATGGTTTCATATCATAGGACAGAAGAATTTTTGAGGCTTATCACATCATCTTTACAATTGTGTTCTTTGTGGTCAACTGGTTGTTTCAGAAAAACCACGGGTGGATCCCACGGCTGCAAAACTCTGGACTCTTTCAGCCAACGACATGGATGATGAGGACGTGGTAGGTTGTAAAACTCACTTAACAAATGTCTCATTTAACAATAGAAATGTTGGGCTCAATTGAGGTTGTAAGTTGAGGACTACCTGTACAGGCATCTTTGCTTCCTGTAGATCAAGGATTGTTTTGGGATTTGTTTTCTATGAGTCCTTATTGTCTTCAGGATCTCCTGGATTCAGATGAGCTTCTGGTTCCTGAGGATTTGAAAAAGCCAGATCCAGCATCTCTCAAAGCACCTACTTGTAAGGAATCTGGAAAGAGGAAAGCCTGTAAGAATTGGTGAGTGTTAAAATAAGTCAAAGACTTACCTGTACATACACACACCTGAAACAAGATAAGAAAAATGTTGCAGAGAAAATGCAGACTAGATTGCAATCTTGTGAAAACCACCTAAATCAGGGTTTTTTAAATTGGCAATTTTAAGATGTCTTGACTTCAAGTGATCAAAATTCCGTTGCTTGGCAATTGACTCATATTGATGACGGTTGCAGTGTCCCGGGGTCATGTGACCACCTTTTGCAATCTTCTGACAAGCAAAGTCAATGGGGAAGCCAGAGTCCCTTAATAACTGCATTACTAACTGATTCACTTAACTGTGGCAAGAAAGGTCATAAAATAGGGCAAAACCCACTTAACAAATGTCTCACTTAGCAACATAAATTTTGGGCTCAATTGTGGATCGTACGTTGAGGACTACCTGTACAAGTTTGAAATTTGTACAGTTCTTGAAATTTCAATCTCATGGGAGTAATGAGTCCTTGATTTTGGGTGCATTCTTTAGGTTAGCCCATTTGAGCTACCTTGATTCAAAAATTGTTGTCCTACAATGCACCATTTCACACCACTGAAGGTTACAAACAAAGAGATGGGAGAGTTTTAATAGTACATACATTGACAACATTAAATTGGCAATTCTTGGCGTTTTCCTCTTTTGAAAACAAATGAGCAAAACAAGAAAGGAAAGACCGATATGTGTAGATGTTTCCTCTGGCAGAGAGGATTTGCAAGGACAAGGCAATCTTCAGTGTCTCTTCATGCTTATTAAACTTACTGCATCTCTTTCTTCTACAGCACCTGTGGCCTTGCTGAAGAACTAGAGCAGGAGAAGAGAAGTGCACAGCCAAAGTCTGCCTGTGGCAATGTAAAAGCTTTGTTTCCAGTCTTGATCCAGATATTGTTTAGTCCAACAGCAATTAGAATATAATGCCAGCCACATGTCCTAACTATAGTGATCATTTATAGAATAAGGATTTAATGAAAAAAATAGGCCATTGCTCATTTTTTATTTATTGCTTTTATGTATTTTTAGTAAGTAGGAAATATGGAGAAAATGCTATTTTAGAAAATGCTATTTATTTTCTCACAGAAGGAAATGCCTTTCCCATTAGAATGCTCCCAGTTTAATTTTTGTTTTTAATAGAGATGCTGGGCTTGATTCATTCACAAGTTTGATTGATGGCATTTCAAACAATTGACTAGATGTTTTAAAGTTATAGTTCTTTTGATGTAAGGAATCAGTAGCCAACATCCACATTCATCATCTGCATACGTGACACGCATATTAGAGCATGGTGGATTTTGGATCTTGCTGCTGTAACACAATATAGATTCAGGAGAGCAGGTTCAGGATTACACACCCTTCTCCTTGTGGAGAGGCATCTGGAGGCATCGATCACCTGATACAGCAGCTGTGTGACAGTGTTCCTCCCATTCCTTATCTAGCTGGATTATTCATTTTAGTTATCAAATTTAATAGAGGTGCCTGTCCCCAGTTTACTTTTTGGTATTCAGCAAAAAATGCCCATTGGCTAAAATGTGTTCACTTAACGACTGTGGTATTCACCTAAGACCTGTTCTGTTTCCTTATTGACCCCAACATTTGCTTAATGTCCACCACAAAAGTTCTAAAATCAGGCATGGTCAAAGTGAATTGGTACCAGATAGGAGTCAGTGGACTTCGTGATGGTGGTAGGGAGACTGGACTTAGGACCTAGGTCTCTTTCAGGGGCGCAGAGGTTCCAAACTGATGATGTGTTTGACACCCCCCCCCTCGGGCTCAGCCTGGTTGAGGGCATCAGTCGCCCTGAAGGCTAGCTGCTCTTTGCCTGGTGGTTTCGCCTTCTTCAGATGCCACTTCTGTTTCTCTCTAGTGCTACCTGGGGGACGCCTTCCGCTGTGCCAGCTGCCCTTACCGAGGCATGCCAGCCTTTAAGCCTGGTGAGAAAATCCTCCTGAGCGAAAACAACCTTCAGGATTCCTGAAAGAAGAGCAGCAACTCACAGCTTCCTTGGTGGTGTTTCATGGTTTGGACACAACAGGCAGTTTCTCTAATAAAGAGGAAGTCTGGACTTGGTAGGGGATCCGTAAACGAATAGGTGGACCAACGCAGGCTGTGTTCCAGACTCCCTTCTCAGTTGGGATCGCTTTCAGGACTCCTTGCTTTCCACCCCTTGATTGTCATTCCTTTGAAAAATTTGCATCTAGATTTTGGCTGTTGTCACACGCCCTGCAGACAAAAAGGTCTTGCTAGTAATCAGCATCAGCCCTGGAGCTACCCAGAATTTAAGAGTGCAACCTTGTCTTACTGGGCCATTTACTTTGCCTACAGAATGCGGCTCTATCAAACCCCCAACAGTGGGTCGGGGTGGGTGGTGTTGGCTTCTACTCAAAACTGCATAGTATGTCTTCATTCCCAGTTTTGTGCCAACGAGAGGATGGGAGGAGTCAAAATTAAACTTCTGAAACTCTGATGTTACTTTTGTTTTACTTTGGCGCACAAAGGTCTTGATCGCTGAGAAGTTTTATGCAGACGTCACTATTCCAGGTCGCTGTTGTTTTTTTAAAAGAAAGCTTGAGAGTCCAGATTGCTGGAAATACTGTCTCAGACTTGATTGTAGTAAAAAGTTTGATCTGAAACTGTTTCAAAGGTTTCTACAATCTGGAGTTTGATGTCTATTGAGTGGAGATTATGGAGCATTAGAGCAGCAAGTTGGTTGGCTGGCTGGCTGGCTGATTAATTATGGCAGATTGTAAGGGATCAGTCTATATACCAAAGGAGATTAATTTATTAGAGGGTTTAAATTATTGCAGAATGTCCTTCATTTCCATTGCTAGCAAAATAATGCTAGCTTAGAGCCCCACATGGGAGGAGGGGGGCAGATATTCAAGTTGGCTTTAAAAAAGACCAGGAAACACAAAAAATTATTTCTGATGCACACTGAATAATTGAAAAGGCCAACGAACACACACACACACACACACAACCACCATCTGCTTCATTGACTATAGAAATGCCTTCTGTTGTGTTGATACTGACAAGTGTGGAAGATCCTTACCAAAACGGGAATCCCACAATATCTCGTTATCCTCACTTGAGACCCGTACACGTGTCAGGAAATCACATTCCAGATGGAAGAAGGTGAACGTGGCTGCCTCCAGGTCTCCCAGAGCAGGGGTAGGCAACCTTGGCTCTTTTATGACTTGTGGCAACCTGTCCACACAAGCAAGCAAAGCCCCATCCGTGGGATGCAGGCAGCACACAAAGTCACGCACTCTCCGGTCCATGGAAAAACCTTTCTCCACGGAACAGGTCCCTGGTGCCCAAAAGGTTGGGGGGGACCTCTGATTTACAGTACAAATAGCCCAAGCATATATTAATCCAACACTGAAAAAAGCAGGCACTACAGTAACTGTTTAAAATTAATTGCATTTTTTTCATATTACTATCACTGTATTTGCCAGCAGAAAGCAAGATATCCGGAGCAGAACAAAAAATCATCTATTCTTGGAGAAAATTCCTTCTCAACTGCCAAAGTGCCAGTGTCATCCTGGATAACCTGGCAAGTGTCGTAAGTAAAGAGTTCACCATGTAGTATGGGAGAAATCCTGAACTTTAACCAAACCATTGGCAATACTCATCTGATCTTGGCTGGATTCCAAGTTAAGCTTAAAAAAAAAATATCCCCAAAGGAAACAGACAATTTTGGAAATATTGCCAAGGAAACTGGAGTTATCCGAGGTGAGCTTGGCTTTAAAAATATGCACTTGTTTTTTTCCAATTTTCCAAGCATTCATTAGATACTCCTGGTACATTTATTTTTTTTATCTTCTCATTCTTCGCAGCTCCCCTTTTCCAAATTAACTGTGTTAGCGATGATACAAGCGCTGGCCAATGCTGTAAATTGGGGGGGGGAGGGTTGTCCAATCTTGGCAACTTTTAAGACTTGTAGGCTTCAACTCCCAGAAGTCCCCAGCCAGCCAGCAGGAAATCCCACCGCCCCAAATCATGAGACGCAATGCACTCGTTCACAAGATTTAGCTGGGATTTTATTAGCCAAAATACCAACACTAGAATCAGAAACCTCAGTAGAAAAATAAAAACCAGTATTGGGAGATTTAGGCTCCCTCTGTACAAAGATTGATTTGCATATGCTGCAGCGGTCGGTGGCATGCAAACAAACGTGGTGGGCATTTGCTGACAAGAAGGGTTAAAATGCAAAGGAAATTGCTGCCAGGAAGGAGTCCCTCAGCCCCTCCTTCAAACCCAGTTTGTGGGGGCTCCTAACAAGCCTCTCCACTGCACGAAGGGGGCGTGGCCCTTCTTCCATTGCAAGTCAACGTGTTCGCGAGTGGCGATATTTGGTCAAGGCAGTTAACAGAACATCCAGTCCTGTTCTTACATTTGGATGAGTTGAGAGCTTATTTTTTCAAGTTTCACCAAACTCTCTGCTGCTGGGTCATAATGAGCTTGCAGATTTAATTCTTCCTGACTGGGTTGATCCTTTTGTCTTCCCTGCTCACTAAAGCCAGGATTCCAACCACCGAGTGCAAACAAGTGAATTCAGGAGGCAGAGGAAAAAGGACAAGCCTCGTCCAAGCATCTGCCTCAAGAAGCAGGTTAGAAAGGCCTGGCAAAAGTAAAGTGAAAAGTATAAAATAAGAGGGCCAAGGGAGCAATTTGCCCAAGGAAGGAAGATAATCGAACTGGGGTGATCACGTTCCACCAGCTCATTCCTAAGCATCGAAAGCTACAGGAGCTTGAGTGATCACGATGTTTTCTGAAATTCTGGCCACTTAATCATGATCAATACATTAAAAAACGAGAACAATCGCATATTTTTAAGCCTTGGCCGTTTAAAATGTTATTGATGGGGCAACCTTTCAAGAGCTGTAAGATGCACTTAAAATAGGGGAGGGGCACAGGGAGTGGGAGTATCACAAAGCAGGAAGAGCCATATCACCTATGAGCAGAGGCGAGCGTGCCTGGGGTGTGCTTTTCAGCTGTGCTAAGCCTATTTTAAGATACAAATCACATTTTTTGCATGTGTCCTTTCTTAAAATGGTAAAAAAAGCACCCACACACACACATGCTCCTCATTTTTGACCATGGCAATTGGAAGAATGCTTTGCAGTGATAAAAACGGAGGGGGGGGGGAAGACCGCTTGCAGGTGGCCTGCCTGTGACCCAGAGCACTTATTTCTTTAAAAAAAGGATTAATCAAGCTCAGAGGAAAATAGGTTTCAGAAGCCACCCCGATAATCATCCAGGAGACTCCAGAAGAATTGAGGTGGGGAGGAATGGGACCTTTCAGGGAGGGAGGGATGGTGTCAAATTCCTGATAAATGAGGAAGCACTAAAGGACATGTCCTCCCTCCCTCCCAGCAAATGAATCCTGTCATGCCCTGGGGGTAAATAGTCTGGTGTCTACCTCCGTGAGGCAGACTGGTGAGCTCCTGGGTAGCAGTGTGTGGCTGCCCCTGAGAGAGGGCACTGATGGGATCCAAGACTGATCCCAGGAAGGAGGGCAATGTTGCCCAGGCACTTAAGGGGTTCCCAAAGCAATCTGAGCCTCTGCCTGCAGGGAATGGAGGATTCCTAGACAAGCACATCCAAAAGGGCAGTCCCTTCATTCCCTCCCTCTTGTACATTTCCCAAGGTTTCTCTGCGAGTCCTCCAGATGCCAATTAAAAGAGCCTCCCAGCTTTCAAAGTGCACATCTGGGTCTCGCCTCCACTCCTCCGTCCCCTGCAATAAACCTGCTCCCAGAATCACACTGTAAATACGTCCTGCGCGCTTGAGGTAGCAGTGAAGAACTTTCCTTCTTAGTCTCAGCATGAACAGGGAGGCTGAATGCTTCCCATCGGAGGGGGCAGGTTGATGCGGCTAATTGGGGCTGCCTCCCCTTCCCCTTCTTCCCTAGGAAAGGCTTCAAACCATCAGGGTGAAGCCCCCTCCCCCCAGTAGGAACCCCACTCAGCCAAGTTGTTTCAGGTAACACCAAACGTTCTCGCCATGTCCTTTGTTCTCTGGACTCAAATCAGCATCACTCCCCTGACCTAAACCAGATATGCATACTTAAAACAAAACCCCAGAAACGCTCAGGTTGGCACTTCAGGTTACAAAAATGTCACAAATTATAAACACAGACCCAGAGCCTGAACGCTTGTTCACCAACGGGTGAGTGTGAACGTTTTCACATTTCCCTGTGGGTCATCCGCTTCTTATTCTCAGCCCGAGGACAATCCAGTGCAGACATTGAAAGCAGCCAAGTCAGTGCTGGGATGATGATGTGCAGAAGGACCCACAACTCTCTTGACTGTCTTTGGCTGTCTGGCCTTAGATGAGGGAGGTCCTTCAGGGAGACCAGCTGCCTCAATCCAGGACAAGGTTTCTTCTGAACAGGTCAACCTCAGCTAAGCGAAGCTGTTGCAAAGCTCTCTTGCTTTTGAAAGGTATTGCACAGAACTACTTTGTGGTGATTCTCATGCTTTTGAATCTCCTGGTCCATGATTCCCAAGCGACACCCCTCCGGGTGGTCTTCCAGGGCCAAGGGGGAAGGGGCTAAAGAGTAGCCAAAATCCGTAAGAAGGAAATCACCACCACGCAGAAGGTCTGGCCCACTCCCCAAGTCAGAGCCTCAAAGGGGATCATCTTCTTCCCAGCAGCTCGGTAGACCCCGGCAATCGCAGCACCTGTAGAGGAAGAGGGGGAAAAAACACCTTCATTGGGCTGCCACATACTTTGGGGGGGGGATTTCTCCCTGTTCCCAAAGGTAGTTCTCGACCTATAACCATAACTCAGCCCACAATTTCAGTTGTAAGTCACAAAGCAGATCGACACGTGACCAGACCCTATTTGACAAGCTGAGGAGGTTGTAAAGCAAAGGCCCAGTTGTTAAGCACACCTATTATTCACTAGTGCAGGGGTAGGCAACTTTGGCTCTTTTATGACTCATGGACTTCAACTCCCAGAATTCCTGAGCCATCATAACATAGCTGGCTCAGGAATTCTGGGAGTTGACGTCCACGAGTCATAAAAGAGCCAAGGTTGCCTATCCCTGCACTAGGGGGTGTTTTTTGCTGAAAATTGGAAGTAAATTTCTGGCAAAAAATGTAATAAATCATGGTCATGTGATCAATACCTGGGCCCTTGGCAACTGGCATGCATGCATGTGGGATCCTGGGATTGTAAGATAGCCATCGGCCACCTTTCCAGTTGGCTTCCAATTGGCGAAGTCAACAAGGGGAGCCTCATTTGCTGAACGACTGGGAGATTCACTTAATCCCTGCAGTGATTCACTTAATAACCCTGGCCAAACAAAGTCATAAAATCAGGCCTCACTCATTTAACAACTGCCTCGTTTAGCAATGGCAGTGATGGTTGGTTGTAAGTTAAGGACCAGCTGTAGTATCATCGGACTTAAGCCAGACTTTTCCCCTGCTAGGATCCAGAACTCCATCCAACAAATTCTGCCAGAATTCACCTACTTGTTAAGGTCCCGGCAGCTAATGGCCCAACGAGGCCCATCAGCAAGATGCTCACTGGCATGAACCTGCCGTATCGGTGCCTCCGGAGAGTGAAAAGAGCCAGCAGTCCTGCAGGGATGTGGAAGAAGAGAGACGATGCCAGTGCCCACAGGAAGACTCCATACCACATCTCTGCAGTGGGAGAGGAGGGAAGAACAGCTCAGAAGGACAACCTGGGAATGGCTTCCACCAATCACCCTCCAGAGGTGGTTCCCCCCCCCCCCCCGTGGCAAAGATCAAGCCATTGCTCCAGAGTGGCAGCACGATTAGTACAGAAGCCTTTCTTAGCTGAAGCTCTCCGACGGTTTGAAACTGGCAGCTTCCAGAAGAGCTGGGAATTCGAGAAGGTGGAGCTACCAGGTGGAAGAGATTTGCTCTGCAGGTACTCCGCATTCCAGTCAGGTAAGACCAGTTTTTCTCAACCTTGGCAATTTCAAGATGGGTGCACCTCAACTCCCAGAATTCCCCAGCCAGCATTTACAGCCCTTTGCAGCATCCTGCAGTCCTGTTATTGCATTTTATGACAGTTCTGTCAGCAAAAACACACCCGTCGCAAACCGTGGGATCACTTAACCGTTGCTGCGTTTGCTTAATGACCGCTGCAAAAAAGCTGCAAAATCGGGTCAGTCACATGACAGGTCTGTTTTATGACTGTCATGGCATAGAATCATAATGGGCAGGCTCCATTAAGCCCTTATGTTGAGAACTACCTTTACGTCTCTCCTGGTACCTCACCTTTAGTGAGCCATTTTGGCATACAGGTAGTCCTCAGTTAATGGCAATTGGGACTGAAATTTCCATCACTGTGCAATGTGGTTTGTAAACTGCAACATCTAGTGACTGCTCCGCTTAGCAATGCCAAACCTGGCAGGCTCAGTACCATCACTAAGCAAAGTTTGTGGGTCATTAAATGAGGAGCGGTTGACTTCAAGCCAGCTTTCCACAAAGTCAATGGGGAACTTCCAGTGTTGGAGCATTCACCGCTTCTGGAGGCTGGTTGTTCCACTGGTTAATTGTTCTGTCAGGAAATTTCTCCTGAGTTCTAGGCTGCTTCTCTCCTTGATTCATGGTGTGTGTGTTTGTGTGTATGGGAACAAGGGAAAAGTTAACCATACGCTTTGGGCGCGAAAACCCCAGATTCAGCTTTGCTTCTTCTGTATCCACTTGGCTTTAGTAAAGTGTCCCTTCGGCCGGGAGTCTCTCTTTTCTACCTGACTGAGCCGGCGCGCTTGACCGAGGGCTCAAAGGCTTCCCGAAGGCTGGGCAGGTGGCAGCAGCTTCCAGAAAGGCCAGGCGGGTGAGTCCAGCTCGGGGCGGGGCAAAGAACACCTGGGGGCGGGGCAGTGAAGGGTGGCCAAAAAGCAGAGATGGGGGAGGGGGGAACTGAAGGCCATCCAGCAGTGTCAACGCTGTTTGTGAAAACTGCCCCCAAGACACTCAACATCCCGGACAAAGTATAATTTTAAGGCTCCCGCGGCAGGTGCTGGGGGGCTTCCAACAAGACGCCCTCCAGCTCTCAAGACTCCAACACCCATGATTCCCAGCGGACGGGAGTGGGCGGGCTTCTGGCAGGGAAGACACCCCCCCCCGGTAACGGGCTCGGCTGTGCCCATTCGGTGCGGAGGCCCAGCTGTGTCTCCAGAGCTCTGGGCTCCAGCTCCAAATCAGCCCCCGGCAGGGGATGGTGGGCGCTGTAGTCCCCAAAGCCCTCGAGAACTCCCCGTTCCTACCTGAGAAGTGGCAAAGCGCGGCGGCGCAGGCGCCGGTGGTGACGTTGCCCGTCCGCGGGGTCAAGCGGAGACTCAGGATCTGCTGCCAGAGACCGCCCGAGTCGGGAGGCGACGCGCCGCCGCCTTCCGCCATCCCGCCGCAGCCGCGGCATCCCGTCGCCGAAGCCAGAGAGGAGCGCGCCCAGAGCGGTGCCAATCGCACTTCCGGTAAGGACGCTTTCGCCCGTGCCAGGTTTTGGCCTCTCTAGGATTGCAGCGTTCTATGGTTACCTTTTTTTCTTTCCCCCGCTTGGATAGGTCGAGGGAAAACTACACTTCCCAGAAGCCCTTTTTGTTTGTTGGAGAGGGACGCGGGGAGCTGGAGTTCACGGATGGCTGGAAGGTCATCCGAAATACATCCCTTAACCCGCAAAGGCTTGCGAGGCTCTCGTAGCCTTTGCCATTTGAATCCTTCCAGGCTTTCTGGTTCTCAACTAGCCCAAAACGCGTTCTTTTGCAAGTTTGACCGATCTGTCGCGCGAGTCTAGGCGTAAATATCCGAGTCTCGAATATTTCACGCCTGGATCGGTCAAATATTCAAATGATGTTCAAACAATCAACTCCGCGAGTCCACCAAAGACGTTTTTGTTCTGTAGGGTCAACAGCACTTCCGGAAGAAAGGATGGGGGCGTGTGCTTCCGGGTCCTCGCCTCAAGACGCGGGGCGTGATCTGTGAGGTTGGAGTCGCGCAGGAAGAGCCATGTCGGATTCGGAGGATTTTTCGTCGGGGGAGGACGAGGATTACCTGCCCTCAGGTGGGACGTCCGGCCTCCCTCGGGGAGAGCGGGCGGGCGGGCGCTTTGGGCAGGCGGGGCTGGACGGCGAGGCCTCCGGGTCGAGGCCGCTGGTTCCGAACATCCGGGCTGCGTGCTGAGGGCGTCACGTGACAGCGGCCGGGCACCGCTTCGGATGGGCAATTCCAATGCGGGTTGCTGGAGGGGGGGGTGAGGACGGGAGGGCGCGCCGTTGTATCGCCCCAAAGGGAAGGCGTTGGGCTGCAGACCCGCGTCTGCTTTCAGGGCCGCTGCCTGGAATGGATCCGTGTTTCTCGGAAACTTTAAGGCAGGCGGACTTCAACTCCCAGAATTCCCCAGCCAGCAAAGCCCTTAAAGTGGCCAAACTTTGCTGAGCCGGGAATTCTGGGAGTTGAAGTCCCCCTACCTTAAAAGTGGCCAAGCTTGGGTTGGGCTGAGAGAGTGATTGACCAAAGTCACCCAGCCGATTTTCATGCTAAGCGGGACTAGAACTCTGTCTCCTGGTGATTGATCCAAAGTCACCCAAGTAGCTTTCACGTCTAAGGCAGGACTACAACTCACCATCTCCTGATGATTGGGCTAAAGTCACCCAGGCGCTTCTCATGCCTTAAGGTGCAAGTAGAACTGACAGGCTCCTGGTTTCTAGGCATCTTCACCAATAGACCGATGGGACCAATGCTTCTTTTGAGGTTGGCATTGAGTCTCCAGCAGCTGCTTCTCAAGACCCAAGCCGGCCACATATTTCCTTATTGCTGTCGTTCTCATACTTTAAATGACCAGGAGGGAGAAAGAAACAGCCTTTTTCTAATTTTGCAGCAGGAATCCAGCATCCCAACTGGATATCCCGTATATCTCTGGTCTGCCCGAGGGGAGATGTAGGATAAAAGTTTCTCTTTCAGCTTTTCCTCCGATTACAAGGCTCCCTTTGCTCAGGCCTGGCTACTTGGGTAACACACAGTCTAGTCCCCTGTATTCCTAGGGACAATCTGTTGCTTTTGGGTAACTGAGGCTGTGTTGACACAGGCGAAGAATACAGTGAAGACGATGTCAGCGAGCTGATAAAGGAAGAGGAAGTGGAGGAGGAGGAAGAGCAGCAGCCAGACTGGAAGACATGCAAAAAAGACACTAAAGGAATTGCACCTTGGTGAGCAGCAATTTGCATCAGAGGAAAAAAAGAAAAGGAAGTGTTGCTTTGCTTCCTTTTTAAAATTATGTCCCAAACGGCATTTTTTTGATAAGGTGTTTTATTAGTAGGAAGTGATGAAGGAGGAGAGCAATTTCATCAGAAGAGTGCCTTACTTATTGCCCTTTTTACTTAACACAAGATTGCTCAGGAGTGTCCGCAGGATGTGGTCAGAAAAATCAACATGGTGACAACAACACCCAGTGCTTCAGTTGCCCTGTTCTGGCAGCCATTTTAACTGTTCTAGCCAAACCCTGCAGATGCTCCTGGTTGCTTCCAAGCTCTCACAAATAATCCTTGCAGCCATTTTAGATTCTTGACTGGTAATTCATTTGCTGATAACGATAGAATTTTTTCCTAGGAAAAGGAAGAAACAACACAGGCTTTTCTTAGATCTGGGTGAAGGAGAATCTTCTAAAGACAAGAAAAATGAGGAGGAGGACAGTGAATCGGGAGAAAGTCGTAACACGTATATAAACAAAAACGAAGAAAGGAAAAAGGAGGATGCACTGTGGGCCAGCTTCCTCAGTGATGTTGCCCAGAAACCCAAAGCCGTTTCTGCAGATCAAACTCCCTGCCATCAGAAACACAAGGTAAGGGGGAAACTGTCATTCAGACATCACTGTTTGAAACAGAAAGGGAAACTTCCATTACGGTTTGTTCAAATAGGTATCTCCTTTCTCCAAAGAATATGACTGGATTTCAGCAAATCTCTAATCAAAGGTCTCTGAAATCAGGTGAACTACAATAGGCTGTATTTCTATCCAGGTATGTTGACGGTACTCCTTGTATACCCCATTTCACTGTTACAACCAGAAAGTTAGTTTTGTTTAAAAGGATGGATGCTAACCTAACATAGAGACCTTTGTGGACAATAAAAGGGTTAACAATAACAAGATTTAAGACCGAATGAAAATAATGTCATCAAGCTGAAATGGTGTCTTTTCATTTCCCCTGGAAAGATTACAGAAATGAAATGAGACCGAGGATTCTGGCAAGTCAGTCCACTCCTGAATGATATTTTAAGCATTGCTACAAGGAGCGTATTCTCCTAATTAGCCATGGCTTGGCTTTGATTGCACCAGTCATTCCCAAATATGAGGGCCACACAGATAAATTTTGTGTTTACTATTTTTAAGAGACAGTAAACCTACACTTAACAATAAAATAATAAAATAATGAAAAGGAAAAAAATAATGAGACAATAAAACAGCACATAATTTTTTTTGTGCAGCTGGCTTTTTTTATGAAGTCTCACAACTGCACAAAAATGTTTACATACTGTTTTATTGTCTCATTTTTTCTTCTTTTCTCTAAAAACTAATTGTATTAAATTCTTCTTTTTTTAATTGTACTTTTTTAATTATAAAGGCTGGTCAAAGACAGTAATAAAGGTATTTTATTTGACTTGTGAATGAAAATGCAGTTAATTTCCCCTGGAAATATTATGGGAATAAAAATGAGAACTAGAGTTCTAGCAAATCATTAGTCCACTCCTGAATGGTATTTTAAGCACTGCTGCATTGAGAGTATTGTCCTAATTAGGCTAATTGGCTTAAAAAGATCCACACATATCTGTTCTCACAACATGCTGAATGTTATTTTCTGGCCGTGAAGCATAGCCAATTGATTCAGCACTTTGAGGTGAATGCTGGGTAATGGCCTTAGCAATGGATGCATTAAAAGGGCCTGAGGTATCTCCGGCACTCAAACAAATGTGTTTTTTTTTCCCCCTTTCCTGTTTTGGTTAGACAGCTGCTGAGAAAAATGTGTGCAAGCCTCAAGGGGAACCAAAGGAAACAGAGAGTAACAAAATCACGGTCACCAAAGTGTTTGACTTTGCTGGCGAAGAGGTGAGGTAAGTTTGGCCTGTTCCTTTTGCATTCAACTGCTCCATTCAAACAGCAGCTAACAAGCAGAGGACAACGACCATATTATAAATTGGTTTGTTTTTTTTTTGCTGCAAAATAAGGACCTTAAAGCATTTCACAGGACTATAAAACAGCAGAGTTATGTTAAAACACACATACAATAGGCAAGTAAGTGCCTACGCGTGGAGTTTTCTCAAAGCTGGTGGTCCCAAAGGGTGTTTTTTTCAAAAGGCAACTGAACTTTCTTTTTCCTTGAACTGATCGCCTTAAATTCTATTTAGAGAAGATAGTGCCAAAGGTTTCTCGGAATTTTCTTTAAAAAGGCTTGTAGAGCATCTTGGATGAGAAGCGAAACATCTTCCAGGAAAGTTGCCTTTTGAAAAAGCACCTTTGGGACACCAGCTTTGAGGATGGTTGAGATTCTCCAAAGCTGGTGGGTCAGCCTGTTTTAGGCTGCTGTTTCAAGTCTCACAAAGAAGAAACCCCAGAGAGAAAGGGGCCGTCGTTCCCCACCTCTGTTCTAGAGCGACGCTATGTTTCCTCCCTTGATGGCTTTCAAGGAAGAATGGAAGGAATTTTTGAGGATGCTGAAACTGGAGAGGGGAGGCAAACACAAGGTCATGCCGAAAGGAAAAACAGATGGGATTAAAACAACATGAGAAAGATCTATTTACGTAGATGGTTTATTTTGTCTTTATCTCGCATGCGGTTATTAAACTCAAGAATTGCTTTTCACACAAATTCCCCCTGATAGTGCGAACCGGCATTCAGAAGCCAGGATCTGGTTTGTAACTGGAAAATGATTTATGTTTTTGAGATTAACCATTGCTTTTTTTTTTTTTCCTCTTGCCCTTTTCACTGTGTGCTCTGTGTGTCTGCAAATCCCTTCCTTGGCGGTTATCCATTCCTTCGTGAAAAGGAAATGCTAATTTGCTCCTTCAAGCAAAACCGTTTGATAAGCAGCAAAACTTGCTGCTGCTTTTTAGATTCCTGGAGAAAATTTATTCGTTCTTGCCTGCCTTTTTGGAATTCAAGCCAGGGGTAGAGATTTGTTCAGTGAAACCTTTCTGCCTGACGCTTTTGGCAGTTATTCATCATTTTATAAATTGGGGGAAACTTTAATGCCTTTATAATTGGGGGGGGGCTGATTATTGGTAGCTGCTGTGCATTTTAATAGAAGGAATGGCTTCTGCTTTAAGGTCCTAATTTCCTTTCTGTCTTTCCTCCCTCTGACAGGGTCAGCAAGGAAGTCGATCCTGCTTCAAAGGAAGCCCAGCAATTTCTGAAAGAGCAAGAGCCGAAGATGGCAACTCAGGCATCGCATCCAACTATTTCAGGGTAAGATCCTGGGAAACTCTGTTCGTGCAGCGCAGGTCGCATGAACGCTGGGAGGGGATTGCAACGGCTTCTTTAGAACCAGCGG